ACGTAGGTTCAGTATTCAGCGCTCGAACGGCGGATTCCCTGATTATTCTATCTATCCCTTCTAGACTTACTCGCAATGAGTTGAAACTCGACGCGTCACTCTCAGCTCGCGCTGCATACCAAGCAGAGTCGATGCACTGGCGCAAGATATTCCCGCCTACTAAGCGAAAGACAAGGCTCGACGTAAGTCAGGTTTCTATCTGATACTGTGCGCTCCTGCCTCACGCCTACTGCAGTACATGTGGGAGTACATCAGGTCCCGTGGAAGAATATGGTCACTTGGATGCCGAGTCGCGGAGCTGGAGGGCGAAACGGAGCGGCTGAACAAATTCGTCTCTGACCTGCAGCGCCAACTCGCGAGCAGACAACAGAATGTCCATTCTCGTTCTGCGGCCTTGCCGACTCCTGGACCCTCCACGCCTGCGGCGCAGGCTGTCGATGCCTACCCAACGCCGTGGTCAGAGGCCGACGTGGAAGAGTCGCCACTCTTACTGGTATCATCGTGCGTTGTACCTTTGACTGACGTATGTCTGTCTGATGAGCTGATTGATTGGGTTCATGGCAGATTGCTGCCAGCGCCTTCCCACGTAGCGCCACTGACGCCTGAGTCGAATCCACGGCCTTTCATCAAGAGGCGAGCCATCGGTGGCGCACCGGCGACACCATCGCCTCTTGCGCGTCAGGTCCCCATCTACGCACTGGCAGACGCAGACGTGTCGATGGATGAGAGCGATGCTGACAACTCGATGGCAATCGACCAATTGAACGGCCTGGAGGGCGCGGAGGATAGCATGATGCTCGACGATGCGGCGGACCTCGACGACGAGAAATACGACGAGCTATCAGAGGTAGACGTCGACGAAGAGTTCCAGCCGCTTGATGAGTGCGCTGCGGCATCCTCTTCGAAGCCGCGTTCAGGCAAGGACGTGTTCATGCGCATTACGGATGCGTTCGGAAACTTCGTTGGTGATATCTTCACGTCTGGTCGGGCTAGGTCTGTTGGACCCTCGTCGACCGTACCAGGCTCTCTCGAGGACATCCTTCCAACGCCGTATCGTGGGACCCCGACTCAGACAAATGTGGCAGCCTGTGGCCCTCCAGAACCATTCACCAAGGATGCAAGCATCACGGCGACGCCATCATACTGCTCGCGTGCGCTGTCGCCAATCTCAACCGGGCCCGATTCACGAGACGCCGAGATCGACGAACTGAAGACGGAAGTCATCCAGCTCAAGGCGGACCTGGAGCTCGCCCGTGGCGCGGTGACGCAGAAAGATGCCTGTATTGAAGAGCTACAGAGACAGTTGGATCACAAACAGAGACGGCTGCGGCTCTTGATGAGCCTTCATGTGCAGATGGACCAAGAGGTACGCCTTGGAGAAAGTTGAACGTGCCTTGTGGGTGCTGACCATTTCCGGCAGTTTGAGAAGGAGAAGGCGGGACAATGATTATCGATATGTATTAGCATCAACCTATTCATTGTTTCACCGAAAAGGTTTCTATGATGATGATTCCTTCTCGGTGCTATACGTCCGAGTCAGCACTGCTCAGCATTATCAAATTGAATGTGAACAGCAATGCATACTTTTCGGTTGTTCAGACCAGTCGACTCGGAAAGGATACATCTCGCCTGGTTCACGTCCAGGTGCGCCGTGTACATTACGTGCTTATCTCCTGTTGATAATTTGCTAGGTCCTCTTGTGTGTGCATCGCGATTCGCATGGACGCGCACAACGGGTCATGATATGCAATGGTGACTACGCATCACACCTGAAACACTCGATGCGACGGTTTAGTTCGTACTGGGGCACATGCAGTATGTTTGGAATGCAAAAATATACAAGTTTTGATACTCGATGGAAGATTGAGGCCGACAAGCACGTTCTAGCCAAGTCAACACACCGCTCGGCGCGGAGCTCGTGAAGCGTTGAGGCTTGCTTTGGCGTGGTTCGCTACAACTTACGGGGCTATCAGTCCATCTACACCTCGCCCACAAGAGGCTGTCAGTATGCTCTACATGATGGCAGCTGTTGCCCTGTGATTGTATAGGTGGTTCTCCAAATATCGCAGTGTTAGCTGAACGGCAACATTTAGTCCCAAACAGTATGACAAGTTCACCGCATTAATAGCCCCAGGTTCCTTACAGCGTGGATCACGGTCAAACACTCCGTCCACGACCCCGATCTGTACTTACCGGGTCTTGGTAGGAGAAGAAGAGGCGGCACGGTCTTTCTAGCATCAGCTTCTCCGCCTCGTGCAGGAGCGTGGCATTAGTCGTTAAGGTTCTCGGGATGCCTCGTAAGTTATCCGGACGTTGTCAATGTCCGATAGCTCCTTCTATCCGGGTTCGTTTCAGAACACCCTGGTATCGGCTTCTCAATGCCCTGCTACATAATACGACGGGCCGTCGTGCTGAGGCTTTTCGCACCCACGCCCTTCGTTGCCCTCCATGCGTTGGCGACACGCTCTGGCCCTGCCTTTGTATGCATCCGGCGTTCTGCTGGGGGTTTGCTCTCAAACGCAATTCCCCGTAGGAGCCCATGAACATGACCTGCAACATCTAAGACCCTGGTACGAACGTCCTGGAAAAGATGCGACGGGCAACCTCGTTTTCCAGTCTTTGGCTTCGTTGCTGCAGTTGGCCCCGAACGCCAAGTATACCAATGGTACGCACGTCACTTCAGATTCTACCTATATCCGTCTATTGACTACCGAGGACCTATCAAGGCCATACAACTATCCGTGCCAGTATCCCTCCGGGTACCCTCCTCTACCACGGACGCCACATGAAAGAGCCCCCGATGAGGGACTGGATTGCATTTGACCCGGAGCATTCTCAACCCTTTACAGGAGGTTGAACGGCACGCTCTTTACCTACAGCACCACGCGCGAACTCAATCTGCTCTTCTTCGACGGCGGTAGTGGGAACAAGTTCGGTGGAACTGTCGATGCACAAGACGTCCTCTTTTGGGGCGAAGTCAACTATGATCCGCATGACAGCTACTTGGGAGAAATGGCGCGCTTCCACAGGATGTGCGAATGGGGCCGGCAGTACGGCATTGATGGGATTGCCAGGATGGCGCTTGACTTGTAAGGGTGCCTCCATTCAAGCCCGCGTATGTGTTAACGCTGGGAACACAGCGAACTCATGTACTGCAACATCTCGGATGGGCTGGAGTTGGTCTCTGCCCAATCTTTGGTCGCTAACGATGGGATCAAGATGGTGGTTGATATTCCTGACAACATCACGGCCTCAGATGCTCCTGCGCGTATGGTTCCTCCACCCCCGTCCTCACTTCCGGTTCATCAAGAGCCCATGATACCGCCTGAAGACTGGAAAGGCAGTCTGCCTACCACTTTTGCCGAAGTGAGCCAAGCGGGCTCCTGGCACAACTCGGGAGAGGTGCGCATCCGAGTCGACCCATCGACTATGGTTTCGTTCTACGACCCGGCCCTCATATCCCTCGTCGAAGCGCGCCGCTTGTCTAGGCGCACTGAATACCGGCTAACAGGTATATCGAAGGAGGATGTGCGCGTGTGCAGGCGGACGTCGCGGAGATCCTGACCCGCGACCCAACCGCGAAGAGTGGTGTGGATTGGCAAGGCCTCGCGCGTGTCATCCAGGATCGATTCTCCAATCGGCTGCCGTATGTACGCCACCTCCTTTATCGACCCTACAGCAATGCATCCGAGCGTGCAGTGGACGTACGCAGACAACTCCTTGTGTCGCTTCTCCCTTACATGCATCGCGAGCATGTCGGCATGCCGGAGTGGTATGCGCAGATGGCCGAGGGATGCGCGACGCGTCACACAACGCGTTTGCCAGTGTCGAAGTTCACCAAGCAGGAATACGTCCTATTTGATGCGACGAAGGAGGTACTGCACGAGATCTGCCGTGTATACACGGAAGCTTGGAGGGGGGCGTTCGATGTCGAAGAGCAAAATGCGGAGATCACAGCCGCCTCCTCGCGAAGTGGAGAGAGGAGTTTGACGCGCTGATTCAATGGCTAGACTGGCCCGTGTGGATGAGGTGCGATCCTCCTTGCGGCGTGCATGTAGGTGATTTTTTTTGTTCAGTCATATTCGCTTCTGAACGATGTGCTGCAGGAGTTTTGTTTCTGGGCGCAAGGCGCAATCTGGGACATAAATCCTGACCATCAAGCTCACTGTCTGCCTTTGAACAGAGACACGCTGTATCGTAGTGATGGCCTCAGATATGTATGAACGTAGACTCTAGGTGCCTTGGAGTATTTAGTCACTGGTCATTCGGTTCAAGCTGGACCGCAGATGTAGTGATCGCGTACTGACGCGGAACCGGTAATGCAAACGGGCACAGTAATGCAAACAGCCGCATTTCTCCCCTCATACCGAGCCGTTTACTGGGCCAAAAAATCGTATATGACTGCTACATACTACCTTAATATCATATATGAAGCAGAAGTAGCTGGGTGTATTGTACGCCGCGGGAGAAAATCAAAGGTCTGTTTTCGGGTGGCTGAATACAGGTGTAACGAGAAGTTACTGCACCGGGTACTACAATCCTTCCTTCGGAACACAAATTTGAGACTTCAGGCACATAAAATACCTTCCAGATATGCTTCCTAAAATTTTCTGAGGTGTGTGTACGAGTGGAAGATACTCGTTTGCACTGCACATTGCACTGGAGTTGGGAAGTGCAATGTGACCGGCGGCGTCTCCCCATGCCGAAACAATCTCCGCTTGGGAAGCAGTGCGGGTGGCTCCTCCCTCACATGTGGTTCAGCATCTGCAGTAGACGCGCATTCGGCATAACGGCAAGCAGGCGGACTCCTAATCTCGGGTGGGCGCCAAATGCTGCACCGGTAATGCAAACGCGTTTGCATTACTGTCCCGACTGCTCAAACAGAATGATCATGTCAATCTTTTGTTATAGAATCATATTTATACATCTTGAGAGCACACATGAATATTTATGGACGTTCCGCGGTAGGGGAAAGTGCTTTCGGCAGTTCTGCAAACGAGAGACCCATTTGCCCGCCAAAGCATCGAGGTTCCGCGTCAGTAGTACCCGTGCGCAATGCTGAGACCATCACGTGGCCGCGTTTCGTATGCGCGTTCCGTCCTTGGTGATCGAGATCGCCGACCTCATCCAAATTGCATCTTGCCACCAACTTGATTTGTGTGCGCACAGAACGTCTGCATCTGCCCATTGGCATTATAGAGCTCAAGAAGTGCCCCCCCTGTGAGCTCTGCTACTGGCGCGGTAACGGCATTCAAGTTGTGGCCTTCAGTTGCCGGTCAAGATACCTTGTTTGCATTGGTGTGGACGCGGGTCGGACAACGTTGTCAGGTGGGTATCATATGCCCTGCTCCGCTGCATAACGGAACGTTCGCTGTCCGAAGCATCCTGTCGATCAGTCACTCCCAGTGAAAACGCCGAAGTTTCAGAGCGATCCCTGTAGATTGTCCGGTGTCAAACCGCTGGTGTTCGACCAGAATCGACATCAAAAGTAAAATGAGACAAACATCGAACGATGTCGACTTCCATAGATCGTGGTCGACCTCGGTCCCATGATTCTGAGTCGTTCGCTCCCGACAGACAGAAGGCGCCTCTTATCGACGTAGCTATCGTAGCCAACGATTCTGGTAGATTGTCATAGAACTCATTCAAGGCCATGCTCCTCGAGCAGTAAATAATCCCTTTGAATGGTGTATATTCAGCAATTCGTAGCAGTGTAACAATCTACATCACAGTACACTAGTACTAGTACTAGTAGCATCAAGCCGCGAGCATCGAGTAGCATTGAGCAACGAGAACCTGCACCCCATTAGTCAATGTACTAGTTCGTGGCTCACTGTAGAATATGTGTCTTCGTAGACCATTCTATCGCGAGTCTGAGTCACCGAGCCTTTGCCTTGCCCTTTGCATTGGTGCACTGTTGGCAACATGCCGTGTTAAACTCAACTAGCATCGTCAATGAGAGACCTTGTATACATACCTTCAGCTTAGTCACGCAGTTTTTGCTCTTAGAGCCTACCAAGTCCGAGATGAGCAGCACATCTTATAACACAGGGTCCACACGCACCCGCTTGCGCACCCACCCCACATGTCCACTCACACACACGCTCGCCCACCTGCTAGCTGGCCGGCTGGTCCGCCCGTCTGCCTACCCATTCGTCCGTCTGCCATCCCGCTTTGTTCCTCTTCCCTGCTCGCCCACTCCGAGTCGTGTACGTTTTCCCGCCTGCGTGTGCGCTTGGTGACCTTATCTGCGCATGACGTCCGAATCGCCTGGATGTGGGTGCTCGCCCGCTCTACCGCCCGCCTGTTCGCCCGCCTGTGTGCGCCTTCGTCGGCCGTGGCTGCACGCTGGGCATTTGCCCAGCGTGCTCGTAGTTGCCACTGCGCAGCGATGAGCTAGCTTGCTCGTCCGCTCACCTATCCGCCCACGCGTCTGCTTGCTCGCGTCCCGCTCGTCTGCTCGTCCACGGTAGTCCACCTATTCTGAATACTGACTCACCTACTCTTGTCTGCGCTCATGCGCGCAGCACCTGTTCCTCGGCCGTGTCTGCGTGCTGGGCATTCGCCCATCACGCTCGTGGTTGGGGTGCGCGTGGTGTTGGTCCATGCCAGTGCTCGCCCGCTTCTGCTACCGCTCGTCCAGTCGCCCGCTTGTCTGCCCGCCCATTCGCACGCCCGCCCCCGCCCCGCTGGCCTGCCCGTCCGTCCGCTCACCTGCTTGACCGCTTGTCCGTCCGCCCACCGCCCGCTCATCGGCCGTGCCTCCACTCATCGGCCGTGCGCTGCACGTTGCGGCGTCCTGTTACTGTGAATAGCGAGCTGGCTCTCGTGTGCGCACGCTCACCCTCACTTGTCCCTACTTGTCCTCGCCAGCCGCCCGCCCTCCCCCGCAGTCCGCTCGTCGTCCACGCCCGCTGTCCGTTCGTCGCTGCGCCCCAGGCCCGCAGTGTCTTCATCAAATGCGTTGCGCGAGGCCTTTACCGTGCGTGTCCATCTTCTGCGTATGCGTTGTGTTGCTGCGTCTGTGGCCGTGTGCAAGTCACCCTGGTGGAGAGAGACGGGGGCATCCCTTTCATCGGCATCTTCAAGGTCTTCGCCACGGGTGTGCTTTGCACGCGGAAATCAAGCGGGAGCCCTTAGTGTAGGGCCCGGAGGTGGGATGTGCCCTGCTCGAATGTCAGAATCACGCTGTGAAATGTGCCGGTACTGTACCAAGTCGCTCGTGTTTGCCAGCAGTCGTTCTTCTATTCGCGCACCCACACAGGAAGTGCTCTTCTTGACTTGTATTAGTAAGGTGCAACGCGGGAGCTGCTGCAGATAGTGCTGAAGTCGACATGGGAGGCGAAGAAGACGAGGAGGATAGTACAAGACGGTAGACGACACGGAGACGCACGTCGCGCTCGCAAGAACTCCGTCAAAGTCTTAGATCACGTGCTACGGTGGATGTGCCGATGCAGTGTGGCTGGTAATGCAAACGTGTTTGCATTACTGTCCTACACCCGCAACTTGAAGCTACCTCGACTTTTAGCCTGATAGACTCAGTTTTATACATCTTGAGCACACCCTTGAATATTTCAAGGTCAACCGGAGGGCGGGGACATGCTGTTTGCATGCCTGAAAACGAGCGACTGGTTTCGCCCGCCAAAATTGGCGCGGCGAAATAGGCGCCGAAAACGCACCTTACGATTTTTCCAGGGCTGCAGAAAGCAGGTAGCTCCTCTTGCGTCTGTGAGAATAGTAAGGTGACATGTAGCAACATCATGCGATTTTTCTTGGGTGAAATGATCCTACGTGCAATAAGGAAAACGGTCGTTTGCATACTGTACCAAATTGCATTACCATTGGGTCAGCCACAGTATAGCTACTATCATTATGTGTTGTCCATTCCTCGCGCCCTTTATCTCTGATATAGGTTTCTACATATATATCATACCTACTAAAATCAGTATATGATGTGCTCATGAGGGAAGATTGAGGCATACAAGGAGGATAATTGACTTTCGTTCGGGGGAGTAAGTACATGCTTATGTAACTTACTGCCATATACGGAATAGCCAGATGAGGCTGCGGTGCGCGGTAGGTTCGATCTACAAGTGCGTGTGAGTGCACGGGCAGCACAACCACAACGAAGTGTGATATTTGGAGACAAACGATAGCAAACGATAGCAAGGGAATGTGCATCGAACACTTCCAGCCGGAACACGCACAGAGCAGTCGTCCACCAGTGTGGGAATCGATCCCGCGTCTAAAGTGCGCGCGCGTCGACAGCAATCGACAGCATTAGTGAGGTAAGCGACACAATCTACACGGACCGCTCTCAAAATTCGGCGTTTTCACTGGGAGTCACTGGTCAACTGGTCCTATTGTCGACTGCCAGTGCCTACGCTAACGCCGGATGCTGGTGCCGTAAACAGGATGTGTTGTGCAAACTGGACGCTCCCGCACTCTTTGTTTTCGCCTTTGAACGTTGAACAGCGCGGAGTCTACCCTTCTAGGCCCAACACGTGTTGCACGATCTGCATTGGTACGCTCGTTTGGGCATGCATTCTTCGAGGACCTCACTGGCACTGTTCCTCGAACGAGTCAAACCCGCCCTCATTGTCTGTAGTGACGGCCTGACAGGCAGTTCTAGTACAAATACCATGGACACCAACCTCGCACCACCAACACCTCCAAGGCTCAGGTCTCTAGAGCCTGCCACTCGTTCTCCGAAGACTACCGAGCCTCGCCGGCGAGGCTACCGCACTTGACGTGCTCTTCGTTACCATTCCATATATCCTAACCAGAAGCAGTATCATGGCACGCACCGGACGAACAAGAGAATCAGGCGTGTCAGTTACCGCGACCGTAAGTCTTTGGAGCCGACATATCCGAGTAACAGCTGAAGAAATCCTTTGCGTACCAGGTATTTTGAATACCGCAGTCGGCCTCAAGGAGGTGGAAGCGGACGGGATCAGCAAGGCAAGGTTCATCAAGAAAGGTGACCTATCTGCATGTACCAAGTCGTCGCGCCGGATGACACAACGTCTACTTGCAGTGAAAGAGAATGCCCGCCGGGCGGGCGAAAGGTTCGCTGACCACAAACGGGCGACCACTTCCCTGCACACGGAGCTCGAAGCACTGGTTGAGTGTATTTCCTCATAGATGCTCACGAGCGATTGCACGACTAACGATCTCCTGACGATCGCGTCGCTGTTCAATCGGCAGATCTCCGACGACATCTTCGGGTGGGATGGCGACGACGACGAGGTCTTCATACCTCAAGACACTGCCGAAAAGTCAGTCCATCCATGCCCCAAGTGGCAGCGTGCAGTGCTAACCGCGACTACCCAGGTTCGACCAAGTCCCTCCCGCCATCCCAAGGCCGAGGCGACGCACTACCCGCACCACGCGCAGCTGCGCGAGCTCTTCCCGCCCACCAAGGCGAAGACCAAACATCAGGTACCTCCACAGCACCCACGCCATCCGCGCGATACGCTGACTCGACGGCCACACAGCGCATGGTCGAGCACAACACTTTCAAGTCGCGGGCGCGGAAGAGGGAGGCAGAGCACCGCGCAGTGATCGAGGGGCTCTTGGCAGGATCCCTGGGCCCCGAAGGGCGCGATCCGCGTTCCCCGGTCCTTCCAGGGTGCTTCCCTCCGCGTCCACGCATTTCCGCTCCGGCCGCACTCGCCTCCGCCGCACGCAGTCGACCCCGGCTGCGCTCCAGTTCGAGGACGGCCCACAGCAGGAGGCTCCGGCGAGCGTGCGGGCACCCGTGTACGTCGACATCCGTGCGGTGGCTTTGCCCCTGCTGACGTCCAGATGTAGCCTTAACCCGGGCTTCGTGCCCCCGACGCCCGTCTCCAACCCGCGCCCGGTCCGCAGGATGGACGCCGTCCGCGAGGAGTCGCCCTCGCCCACGGTGTCCCGCCAGGGTTCGACGCGCTTCAACGCGCGCGGCCTCTCCATGCAAGACGACGAGGATGACCAGGACCAGGACAAGATGGACGTGGACGAAGACACCCCCGAGGACACCCCAGCAGGGGCGTCCCTATTCGACAAGGGCAAGGGCGTCCTACGGCGGCTCGCGAGCGCGATGGGCGCAGGGGTCCCCTCGCCCATCCAGTTGTTCGGTGGGTACGCGTCGCCCGAGCGGTCTACACCCAGTTCGGACGGGTTGGTGCCCGCGACCACGCCGGCGAAGGCCTCTGCGCCCGAGCAAGTACCGACGCCCTCGGGCTCGGGCTCTGTCCCTCCGATGTTCACCAGCGACAGTCCTGCGGCGAGCCCGCGTGCCTGCTGGTCCCCTCCGTCGACGCCTACCCGGCCGAGAGTCCGGATCCACGACTCGGACTCGGACGTGAGGGACGCGCAGATCCGTGAGCTCCGGGACAGGGTTGCGCAGCTCCAGGCGCGCCTGCAGGCGGCGCAGCGTGGCGCGGCTGAGAAGGACGAGTATATCGCGAGGCTGGAGAGGGAGATCGCGGAGAAGCAGGCGGCGCTGGAGGGTCTGGTGCGGGGGATCATACCTGCGGTGCGTCTTTTCGTTCGCTGCGCGATGGTTCTGAGGACTGATGAGTGCGTTTGTAGTTCGCGGAGGCGGCGAAGCATGTTTCGGGTGCTAGTGAGGGCTTTGGCGTGTTCTCTTGAAGTCGTGATGTGCTTTGTCTCATGCTTAGACCTGTTCGTCACTGTATCATTGGTCTTCATCAGTCTCGTGCGAGTCTTGTATCGTCTGCCCCTGCCTACCGCATGTCCTATAGCACTCTCCTTGTACTCATCAGCTCTCACGCTCACTCTGACTATTCGTGGGGCTTTTGTCCTCCCGCATACGAGACTGTTGTTCATGCCGTACCCACCTGCAACTCACTCTCAATGACGGCAGGATAGCCCGAGAAGAACCCATGTTGAAACACCCTACACACAGCAAACACCTCCAGTATCTCTACCCCTCCCGTGCCCCACCTACTTCGCGCTCGCCTGCTGCAGCACCACATTCACATCGCCCGTCGTCGCGCCACCGGTGAACGTCGCGGTGAACGGCTTGTCCGCGCCGCACGTCGCGGCGACGGCCTTGATGCCCTGCTCCCAGCGGCCCTTGGAGATGTTGATGGTGTCGCCCGAGTTGACGGGCGTGATGGTGAACTCGGAGCCGCCGGACGTGCCCGTCGTCGTCGTCGGGTTGCCCTGGCAGGACTCGATCGAGCCCGCGATGCCACCGCAGATCTGGAGGAGCGCGACGTTGGTCTCGTGCGAGTCGAGCGTCCTGTGCGAAGTTGTGTCAGTGACTGAGGGTTTGGGATGCGGCGGGGGACGTACACGTTGGGGTCCGTGCAGACGACGTTGCTGACGGTTTCTGTCCGCGGCCAGTGGAACATCGGGAGCGCGAACGCGCTCGCGGTGAGGAGGACGAACGAGTAGAGCAGCGCGAGCATCTTGTCTGATCAGATATGCACGGTATGCGAGTGTCAGAGAGCGGGATGGTGCAACTGAGCAGAACGGTCGCGTCACAGACGGCGAGGAACACAACCGGGGGAAGACTGGAGGAAGGAGGGAAAGAGCGTGGGCCTGAACCGGTCAGTCGGGCGAAAGACGAACTGTGAGGAGCGCGTCCTGCCTGCTGGTGGTTATATGCGGGCTCGCGCCGAGCATGCTGAGGTCGTCAAGGCAGCGAGCATGCAGCGACATGCACATGGGGAGCTGATGGTGGTTCTGGTGGAAGAGGCCTCCCGTGCCTGACCAGGCCTGGGTCGTTGGTGGGCGTTGCCGGCGGCACCGAGAGCCCGCCGTCCCGTTGGTCGTCGACGCCGACGATCGGCCCGGACGCGCTCCTCGTGAGCCGCGACGCCGGTCCGAAGGCGCGTCGCGCACGGCGCACACGCCCGAAATGGCAGCCTCGCGCCTCCGGCCCATCACCGATGTCGGCCCGATAGCCCCGAAAGAGCGGAACGCCGTGATCGACGAGCAGTCAAAGGGCATGGTCGCCGCGCCCGGTCCGCACTCCTCCAATGCACCTCTCCACACGACGCCTGCTCTGCGCCAGCCGCGCCGCCTGGCGGTCCCGCCTCCTGTCTGGCACAGTGGGCGGCGGCCTGAGATACCGGCAGCTCACCACTTCATCGCCCGCCCAGCCCGCACCCACGCCCGCACCCAGCCCTCCGCCACCACCCGCGCCCTCGCCGCCCAACTCAGCCCTCCTCCTCTTCTGCCTCTCCACGGGACTCGTCGACAGCCTCACCTTCGCCGTCTCCGGCGTCTGGTGCGCCTTCGTCACGGGCACCACCGTCCAGCTCGGGATGGACCTTCCCTCCCTCTTCGCCGAGCTCGGCGCGCTCAACGGCTCCTTCCCCACTGCCGTAACCTACATCACCAACTCGTCTACCGCCGAGCGCGCGGCTGCCCTCGGGGGCTTCATCTTCGGCGGCTTCGCCGGGTCGCGCTTCCCGCGCTGGGTCACGCCCGCACGCTCGAGCGCGCTGCAGTCCGCGCTCCTCGCAGGGGCGGGCGCGCTCGCGCTCGTGGACCCGGTGGCGACGTACATGCCGCACCCGATCCTGACGCTGGGCATGATATCGACGAGCATGTCCCTGCAGGCGGTGCTCGTGCAAAGCCTGAAGACGCCGTACGCGACGAGCGTCGCGTGGACGAGCGTCTGGCTGAGTGCGGTCTCTCCGAGCTCGGCGACCTCGCGCTGGAAGCGAACCGCGGGGCTCGCCGCGCTGATGGGCGGGGCGGGTATTGGGGCGCTGGTAGTGCACTTTGGGAAGGAGGAGGGCGCGGGTGACGAATCCAGTGATGAAAGCAGGCGGACGACACTGCGTAGGATGGGATGGGGCCTCGTGGGCGCTGCGGCGGTGAAGGCGACTGTGGGCGTCATCTTCTGGCGGAGAGGTAGAGGCGGGAGGTTGCAGCTATAGGACTGGTGGACGCGCCGGTGGTCTGCTCGGCACTGCTAGATGTAATAGATGGCACATACCCTGCACAGTAGACATCCGTAGACAGCACATACCCCGTAGATCCGATAGACGTACTTTACGCATCGACATGTAGGATACCACACACTTACTGCAGTCGTGGCATTGGCGGTACCGACGCGAGTTGTAGGGATCCCCAGCTTCCGAAGTCTAGCAACAGGGGCCGCCCCTCCTCATAGCGACAGACCACGAGAAGAAACGATACCTGTGCTAGATAGAAGCTCGGGAATCACAGAGGTACGCGGTGAACTTCGCATCCTCGGGCGGGCAGCCTGTATTGTGTGCAGAGTCAGTGTGCGGACTACGGCCGTCGACGTCCAGTCCAATCAAGCGAGGCGCGCCGGAGGTTCATGGTATCGCACGCGAAGACACGCGTTCAGCAGACACAATTGCGTCGGTAGGTGAAGCCAGCGTCCCACAGCAGCATTACATCCACGGAGCGCAGGATACAGTCAAGAAGAACGCGTCCGAGCGGCAAGTGTCCGCGAGAGCGAGCCGCGTCTCGGTGGCAATAGAGTCATCCCTTCCCGAAACGGCAAGTGCAGCAGAACAATGTCACGCCCGCAATTGTCCTCCGCCCGTTGTGCTTGTCCTCGCTTTGGCTTCTCCGTTCCACCTCGGTCCCAAACACCCACCCACAAACACTCCGCGAGCCGCGCGAGGCCGGCTGTCGCCCCCCGCGCACAGACCGATTGTGCTGCACGGGCCCCCATTGTCCTCTGGCGCGCTTGTGCTCGGGCTTCTTGGCCATTCAGTCCGGAGGTGAGTGGGTATAAGAGGGCGGGGAGGCGGAGCCTTCGTGCTGTGCCGCCACGACCTGTCCCGACCCCGCCCTTCTTGACGCTGTACACTGCCCGTTCGTCTGCGACGACGGCCCTCACATCCTACTCACCCACCGCCTAATACCCGCGTGCTCGACCTCTGTATCGCTATCCGTCTCTCCCTCTTACGAACCCGTCGTTGTATCTACTACCACGCACCACGACACCCGACCCGCACACGTCGACGATGGCCTCCCGCTACCTCACCACCCCCGCCTTCCCCGACGTCCAGGTCCCGAAGCCTCGGTAAGTCCCCCGAGCTCGTGCCCCGCGCACCGCCTAACCCCGCCCGCCAGCCTCTCTCCGCGGAAGTACCTCGAGCGCCGGATCATCCGTGCGTGGAAGCACTTCAGCCAGGCGACGCGCAAGCAGCCGCGCGCGTCGGTCCTCCCCGACGACTTCGTCCTCCTCACCGCGCGCCGCCGCAGCGTCCGCTTCACCTGAGCCGTCCGCGCCTCGTGCGGCGTGCCCGCCGGGTCGTCCGCCACGCCACGCACACTGCACACGCACGTCGAAACGGTATGCGCCCATGCCGACATATGAACTAGTACCCGACCAGGCTGCACCGGGCGCACCGGCGCACGCCTCGCCACACTCCTTTGCGCCATGTCTCCCTTCCTCCTCATAGATATCCCTACACTACGCATACCACCTCCGCCCTAATCGTCGCGCCCTGCTCGACGCAGCCGCTGACCCGGACTCGACCACTTCTATGCACTCAGACTTCCGCTCGTAACCTACGCCGCCGCCGCTTATGCACTAATCGTATGGCTGTATGTACTTCCCCGTATGTACTGCCTTTGGGTTCTGGGATTTTTGGACTGTCTGGGTTGCTCTGCACCATCTGTTGTTGTACTCTGTAGCCGTTGGGCTTGTAGCGCTAGTGGCTATCGCATGTACTCGTTATTATCCAGCGTCATTTGGCCTGAGCGTGTGCTGCGCGATTGTATTTGAGGGCGAGCGGTGCGAAAATTTCTGGGCACATGCAGACTCCGGTGTGGGCAAGATGCATGCACATTCCAAGTCTAAGTTGACACAGGGCGAAACACGACAGTCCGAGCGAAGATACGTAGAACGATAACGAATTCTAGACTAGGAGTAAAACGGACAAATCCGCCTCAATGAACGAAACTTCCAGACCGATGATGAACTCAAGCCTTCTCGTCCCTCGCATTGGGCCGGTCCGGCACCTCAACCTGCGTACGCTCCGAGATCCCGTTCACAATCCCGTTCACGCTGGCGATCTGCACATCCGCGCCCTCATCTAGCTGGCCGGGCTTGAGGATGCTCGCGATCGTGTGCGCGAGCGGTGTCGGCTCCGCCTCGAGCGCCATCTTGAGAAACCACGGCTTGCTCATGTAGTTCCTGATGCTACAGACGAGGCCCGCAATGAGCAAACCTGCCCCGTCCCATCATAGGCGGACGCAAGTATCACTCACCCATCGGGCAACAACACCACGACGTTCGCCCCCTTCGTCCGCGCGATCCTCTTACCCGTCTCATCCTCCTTTAACCATTTCAGCGCCCCGCTCAGCGCACTCCCGCTGCTCCCGCCGACGAGCAGGCCCTCGCTGCGCATGAGCTTCCTGACGGCCGCGAACGCCTCCTCGTCGGACGTCTTCAGCCACGCGTCGACCTCCGCGCGCGCGAGCACGTCCGGGATGAAGTCGTACCCGATGCCCTCCACGACATACGCCGCACCCGCGTCGGAAGTGTTCAGCGCCTCGGGGAGCGCAAGAATGCTCCCTTTCTGTAGGCGAGGCCATGGGTGTGAGGTATTGAAGCGTGCGGGGGAAGAGGAAAGGGGCTTACGGGGTCAACGCCGACGACGATGCAGGACTTGTTGTGTGTCTTCTTGACGGCGCGGGACAGCCCTGTGATGGTGCCGCCTGTACCTGCGCCCGCGACGAGGGCGTCGACCTTGCCTGAAGAGGGCCGCTCTGCGGTCCCGGGTGTAGAGACGACGGCTTCGATGATCTCAGGACCGGTCGTGAGCTCATGCGCGAGCGGGTTGTTCAGCTATATCCCGCACAGCGGTTAGCACTGCCTATATCAAGGACACTATCGGGGTTCCGCACGCACGTTCGCATACTGATCGAGGATTATCCCTCCTGGAATCTCTCGCTGAAGCCGACGCGCCACCCCTGCGATCGTTAAGGAATTCAGCCACGAGAGGCCCGGCGCACGGAGTGTCCGCTCTACCTATGTGGGACTCGGGTGCGTCCCAGGCTGCCTCGGTGGGCGTCCGCACCACTTCCGCGCCTAGTGCGCGCAGGGCGGCTTCCTTCTCCTACAGTGCCATTGGATGGTCAGTGGAAATGGCTAGAGCAGACGTAGGGGTACGAACAAGAGACATCTTGTTGGGCAGCGTGATGATCACAGAATATCCCTTATCTGTAGTATTCAGCATATGCTCAGGAAAGGGGACGTGAGTTTGACCTTCACAGCACAGGCCAACGCGAGGCCAATTCCTATGACGACGACGTCAATATTCAACTCAATGCAAGCAATTCGTGCACTGACCGGTGTTGCCGGAAGTAGGTTCAATGACGACACTATAGCCAGGGACGAGCTTGCCCTCCTTCTCGGCAGCTTCGACCATCCGTTTCGCTATGCGGTCCTTCACGGAACCGCCGACGGAGGTGTATTCAAGCTTGCCGACTGAACGTACTCTCAATGAGGGGGAGCAATGCATTGCGCGGGATGCCACGACTTACGCAGGTTACACTCTACGCCCTCCTGCTTGGCTATCCTGTCTAACCTGATGAGCGGGGTGTTCCCCACTGCTCCGAGAGCGTCGTCCAGTATCTGCGCGGAGAAAGGCATGCTGAATTGCTACAATTGAAAATCTTCAAGATTGATCTAACGAGGTGTAAGGCCCACAGCAGCGGGGCTAAGGGCTTGGATGGAACAGAGGAGAAGATTGGCGGAGGCCGAGAGCGAAGGCCGCCTTTTATAGACGCGCTTAGACGCGCCGCGCCCCGCCAGTTTGAATGATGGAACGCGTGCACGTGACCCTTTTCAAAGTACTTCCAGATGATTGGAGCGGACGAGGCTGGTCCCTGGAGCACAGGATGCGGGCGGATCTAGCAGGCGGACGCGTCGAGAGAGAGAAATAGCGACATATTGCGCAAAACCAAGGAATCATACAAGAACAATGAGCACTATCAGGAGCGACGGAGCTCCTATCGAGAGGAAGTCATGATAGCCCACTCCGCGAAAGGACGATCATCGAGGGCCCCCGCGTAGCATCTCTGTGAGTAGCGGGTATGGTCGGCCTATCCAAGTCGCAAGCTCAGTATGATCCTTGTACGAATCTCCGGTGTTCGGGTGTATGAGGACTCTGATGCCAATGTCAGTATCTTGTCTTCAGTGAATGGAATGTCGCACGTACGAGCATGGACCCCGGTTGACTACCAACCAGGAGAAAAATGCCCCAGTTTGATGGGGATTGAACACGTTCACCTCGAACATGGGGACAGGGTGTGGACCTACGACGACGTAAGTACTGATAGTGTCGCTTCTGGAGTTCACACTCACCAACCGGCTTATCCCAGAATTTGTAGATGCGAAGCTAAGGCATAGTTCAGGAGCCATACTATAAAACAGGATGTGCACATCTCACCTCGGGAAACTCTCTCCGGATTCGCTCGTGCAGCTCCCTCCCGTACTGTGCTTCCGCCGCGCTATTCGGCATGTAGTATACTGAATGGCTTCAATGAAAAAGCATATTCATACCGACGGTGATGTACTCACTGTGGAAGTCAAACCCATTGTTTGACGAGTCAATTGGCTTCGGAAAGTCGTCGTATGAAGCCGACCTGGGGCCCGGAGGGTTATGTAGAGATTTCCCGTCGGGGTTGATCGTCGTTGGGAGGGGCTCGGCATTCTCATAGCCTTTCAAAGGCGAGTCCCAAGGCATGTCGTCGAGAATGTACTGGAATGTTCAGCTGTACGACTACAAGCGTTGTTGGCTCGGCACTGTCGACAAGTACGATTGCGTGCTTTATATATGTACTGCGGGGGTCATGCTAGAGTGCTAGTGAGCATGACAAAGCAGAAGCCAATGATGCTTATGGCTCGCTTATGGCCCGGATGTTTTGCTGACTGTCCAGACGATGTGTGTGAAGACTGGCGTCTGTAATAGCGAAGGAGACGTTAGACAGAATGACTTGTGCGACCAGCCGCTGAGCTGAGCGACTGAGAACGAGAACGAGAATGCGTTGACGACTACGAGGTCGAGTGGGACGGCACGGTTTGAGTCATGTGAAGGGAGCATCAGAGGCTCATCGTGATTACGAGCGCGTCGCGCGACTGCCTTTCTTCCCGCCACGAACAACTGCTGGGGGCTCGATTCTCAAGCTGTTGCGGATCAATGTTGGGTTTCAGCTTCATCTACGAAGTACACGACTTACTCTCTGTGATAGTTACAGCGAGTAGGACACGCCCGGCCACGATGTCTTCAAGAGAGTCCGACCGAATCACGGCTGCGCAACAAACCCTGGACAGTAAGCAAACGCGACGACGGTTGCTCCGCGTGCTGAACGAGGATCCGTAGTTCTGTATGATATCTCCCAACTTCTAAACACAGGGCTGGACAAAGAGACCCTTGCTACGTGCGTCAACATGATTGAGAGCGGCGTTAACCCCGAGGCATTGGCGGTGCGTGTCCCAGAGTCCAGAAATTACATCTCAACAAGCATGGTCACAGGCTGTCATCCAGGAGTTGCGTAGAGAAAGCCAAGCCTTGTCAGGAAAACCCACAACCAATGGGAGATAACACGACTTGGATGCAGCAGGGGCGACGTTCTCTCAATGACTGAGATTCAGTATAGTGGCGGCCGCTTGTATTCGGATTGCTGTAGCGTTCTAGAGTTGATAAAGGCCCAGTGCGACACGTCGTGAGCTCATCAGGCTCGCCAGATGTGAGTATGGAGTCGTTTGTATGCAGCAGTCGACTACAGGCCAAAGGAATGCGACCTCAGTTCAACTGTTGCCACCAAAGTGGCGGAATTCCATGTCAGATTGGCCGGAGATTCAACAAGGTGGCTACGAGGCGGGGTCATTACTCACTGACTAAGCGCTCATTCAGAGACCTCTCTCACTCACACCACTGCTTCCACGATGTCCGACACCCCGAGACTCATCGACTCGTTCACAGCGCCGAAGGAGGTGCTCCAGGAATTTGCCGATCTCGCTGAGGAGGAGAACGTCGACCCCTTCGCCGAGACAGCCTCGAAGCGTCAGATTGCTTCACGGCAGTCTGACTACCACGGCCGTCGCTTCAACCGCCAGGCGCACGAGAGCGAGGATGCCTTCAAGGCTGCAGAAGAGGGTAAAGATGTTGAAGGAGGTTACAAGGATGCGATGAGGGTTCAGCGGTTGGAAAGGGAGGAGGAGCGGGTACGGAGGGCGATTGAGGAGAAAGAGAAGCAGGATCGCGAAGAGGGTAAGATGAAGATGGACCTCGACAAGACGCCGCCCCGCGCAGAGATACAGGAGGCTGTGAAAGAGCTCGCGGGGACGAAACGCAAGCGGCGCTGGGATGTCGAGACGGATGAGAAGGAGAACAAGACGGAGACCAAGGGTGGTGAGTGGTCCAAGGAAGCTCTTGAGGAGGCTGCGCCTAAGAAGCGGAGGTCTCGTTGGGACGCTACACCGGCGGACGTCAATGCTGTGGGCGAGACACCGAAGAGGTCGCGCTGGGACCAAGCTCCCGCCGCTGCGCCGGACGTCCCGATGACACCCATCATCATGAACGCTCCCGGCTTCATGCACGAGGACAAGCACAATCGTTACCTGACCGACGAGGAGCTCGACGCCATCCTTCCCGCGGCCGGCTACTCCACCGTCACCCCGCCGCCAGGCTACGCGCCTTTGGTCCGCCCGCCCAAGTTCGCCACTCCTGTCACAGAGGTCGGCGGCTTCCAGATACAAGAGAGTTCCGACGCAGCGTCGGCGGCAGCAGCGGCAGGACTTGCACCCGAGCTGCCAACGGAGATCCCTGGCGTGGGCAGTCTTGCGTTCTTCAAGGCGGAGGATGCGCAGTACTTCGCCAAAATCCTCAAAGAGGAGGACGAGACTGAGCTGACCGTTGACGAGATGAAGGAGCGCAAGATCATGCGGCTCCTGCTCAAAATCAAGAACGGTACGCCTCCCGTTCGTAAAACTGCCTTGCGACAGATTACAGACAAGGCGCGCGAGTTCGGTGCCGGCCCACTTTTCGACAAGATCTTGCCGTTGCTCATGGAGCGTACTCTCGAGGATCAGGAGCGCCATCTCCTCGTAAAGGTCATCGACAGAGTGTTGTACAAGCTCGATGACCTCGTCCGGCCGTACGTGCACAAGATTCTCGTTGTCATCGAGCCCCTGCTCATTGACGAAGACTACTACGCTCGTGTCGAAGGTCGTGAGATCATCTCCAACCTGTCGAAGGCTGCCGGTCTCGCCCACATGATCTCCACTATGCGTCCGGATATCGACCACGCCGACGAGTACGTGCGTAACACCACCGCGCGTGCATTCTCCGTTGTCGCCTCGGCTCTCGGTATCCCCTCCCTCTTGCCCTTCCTAAAGGCTGTTTGCAGGAGTAAGAAGTCCTGGCAGGCACGTCACACCGGCATCCGTATCGTTCAGCAAATCGCCATCATGATGGGATGTGCCGTCCTCCCTCATCTGCGGAACCTCGTCGACTGCATTGCACACGGTCTCCAGGACGAGCAGCAGAAGGTCCGCACGATGACGGCGCTCGGCCTGGCGGCCCTCGCTGAGGCCTCGGCGCCGTATGGTATCGAGTCCTTCGATAACGTCCTCAAGCCACTTTGGGTCGGCATCCGTCTCCACCGTGGCAAGTCGCTCGCGGCATTCTTGAAGGCCATCGGTTTCATCCTACCTCTGATGGACCCCGAGTACGTGTCGTACTACATTAAGGAAGTCACCATCATCCTCATTCGCGAGTTCCAAACGTCGGACGAGGAGATGAAGAAGATTGTGCTCAAGGTCGTCCAGCAATGCGCCGCGACTGAGGGTGTTACGGCGCAGTACATCAAGCAGGACATCTTGCCCGACTTCTTCAAGGCCTTCTGGGTGCGGCGGATGGCGCTCGACAGGAGGAACTACCGGCAGGTCGTAGAGACGACCGTCGAATTGGCGCAGAAGGCCGGTGTCGCGGAGATCGTCGGGAGGATCGTCAACGAGCTCAAGGACGAGGCGGAGCCGTACCGTAAGATGGTCATGGAGTCGATCACGAAGGTTGTCGCCTCCCTCGGTGCATCCGACATCGACGAGCGTCTCGAGGTCCGCCTCGTCGACGGTATCATCTATGCCTTCCAGGAGCAGACAACCGAAGACCAGGTCATGCTCGACGGCTTTGGTACCGTTGTCAACGCCCTCGGTATTCGCGTCAAGCCGTACCTCACGCAAATCGTATCTACCATCCTCTGGCGTCTCAACAACAAGAGTGCCAAGGTCCGTCAGCAAGCTGCCGACCTCACGACGCGTCTCGCTATCGTCATCAAGCAGTGCGGCGAGGACCAGCTCCTCAGCAAGCTTGGTTTGGTGCTCTTCGAGCAGCTCGGTGAGGAGTACCCGGATACACTGGGTAGTATCATCGCCGCAGAGGGCGCCATCGCGAACGTGGTCGGTATGACGCAGATGAACCCGCCAGTCAAAGATCTCCGTAAGTCGTATCAATATTGCTAGTTAGTCCAATCACGCTAACGCTGCCCTTCACAGTCCCTCGTATGACCCCTATTCTTCGTAATCGTCACGAGAAAGTACAAGAGGCAACAATCAACTTGATCGGTCGTATCGGTACGTAGTCATCCGACAATGTTGATAATCTTTCACTGATCATTCTTTCCAGCTGATCGTGGCGCTGAGTTTGTACCAGCCCGTGAATGGATGCGAATCTGTTTCGAGCTACTTGACCTCCTCAAGGCGCACAAGAAGGGCATTCGCCGGGCGGCTGTCAATTCCTTCGGTTACATTGCGAAGAGTTTGGGTCCCCAAGACGTCTTGCAAGTTTTGCTCACGAACCTCCGTGTGCAGGAACGTCAGAGTCGTGTCTGCAGCACGGTCGCCATCGCCATCGTGGCCGAAACTTGCGGCCCCTTCACCTGTATTCCTGCGATCCTGAACGAGTACCGGACCGCAGAGCTGAACGTTCGAACCGGCTGTTTGAAGGCGCTGTCATTCGTCTTCGAGTACGTCGGACCGCAATCCGCGTACTATGCCGACTCTGTGGTCACGATGCTGGAGGATGCCCTCACCGACCGTGACCTCGTCCATCGGCAGACAGCAAGCACGATCGTCAAGCACCTCGCCCTTGGCGTCGCTGGCCTTGGGTGCGAAGACTCCATGCTGCATCTGATGAACCTCGTGTGGCCAAACTGCTTCGAGACGTCGCCTCACGTCATCGGCGCAGTCATGGATGCTGTCGAGGCCATGCGGGTGACGCTTGGCCCTGGCGTCCTGCTCAGCTACGTCTTGCAGGGGTTGTTCCACCCGGCGCGGAAGGTCCGCGAGGTGTATTGGCGTGTATATAACTCACTTTATCTTGGTGCTTCCGACGCATTGGTGCCCGTCTATCCTGACCTGGGGGAGCTCAGCGAGGGGCAAAACGTATACGACCGTCACCCCTTGCAGATGTTTATCTAGATCTTGTGTGCTGCGTAGTGTATGCGTCTAATGTGTATTTGTATTGTTATTACTCGAGGAATGCATCGTCGTTGCATCGTGTGCTTGTAGCCTTTGTCGTGCAATACAGGTGAAGTCGAGATCTGGGCCTGAGCTCGTGTCCGACGCAGATGGGCAGATGAGAACACCACCTCTATGGTACATTGTCGCTGTCTTGTTATACTCAACATGAACATCGCTGATAGGTATCATTTGTTTAGTCGATGAACGAGAAAATCACACTGCATTACAGAGCAACACTAAATATCCGAATAGCAGAACAGAAAGTGTATGAGGACATCATGTCCCGCTCGTTATTCCGGGCGGGAAGCCATTGAAATCTACCTGGTCTTGCACCGCGCGGCCGCCTACTGAGAATGATATACGCAGTCGTAGCCGAACATTGGCCTGCGTGACGATGTGAGCTGATGCATGCCTTAGTGATGCGAATGGCACTCACTCCGACTGGGGCGATGACTCGCATTTGTTGCGTCTCGACAGCACCTGGCTGCACGTCTGGATTCGACATGGGAAGCATTTGGAGTTGTTGCGACTGACGGGCATTGGTCATCAGCAAACCGACTTGCCCCGTTGCAGGCGTGAGCAGTAACTACCTTAGGCACGGCCGCTTGGAAGTTGAGTCCAGTCGCCGGCGTGTTGCCAGCCATCTGGAACCTCGCGAGAATGTTTACAACGCCCGGCTTAGGCACCTGTGGCGTCAACATGATCCTCAGCTCGTTCTTGTCATACGCGGGGTATGCCGTCAGCCGTGGCTGCGCCGCCAGCTGCGGGGGCGGGGTTTGCGTCTGCGGCAAGCTGAAGGCGGAGCCCGCACCGTTCGACACAGGCAAGGGTGGCGCCTGTGTCTGGACAGGCGTGGATGTCGATGCGGCGGGCGAGTCGAAGAGGCCGAGGATGTCTTGGACGGTGCTCTTCTGGCTCTGGGCGGGACTGGGTGCTGTTGGGGCTGATGAGCTTCCAAAGATCTCGGCGAGAAGGTCTTGGTTGTTTTGCACGGGTGCGTGGCCGTTGACGGGTGCGGCGGGGCCTGTCGCAATGTCGTCCCCAAGTAGATCACCCTGACAGACAAAGAGTGCTTGTGTCTTGAGATCATGCATGATGATGGAAAACTTACGTCTTTACTTGGCTGCACGGAGCCGACGGGTTTGTTTTCGCTAACTGAGCCTTCATAAGCCAGGTTCCTTTGCATATATGGCTCAGGTATACGTACCAACGCCCATGACAGTCGCCTTGAGCTCGGGCGGCGGCATACGCTCCAACACACCTGCCCGCACATCCAGGTTGAACAGGCTCGCGAACTCTACTGCTCGCTGCTGAATCTCTAGCTCTGGGCTTGTGGTGAAGTTCAGCAGCACATTCGCTATCCGTTCTTGTTGCGCGGAGGAGGTCGTCGGGCGAGAGGAGATCTTGGTGATGGCGGTGAGGACGAACTGGCGGGTCAGGTAGTTGGCGTAGGGAGAGTCGAGAATGGAGAGCAGGAGGTCGACCAGTTCGACGTCGGTGATCTGATACGCGGGGAACGTTATTCAGGCTCTGTTGGGAGTTATTCTGGTGAGTTGAACTTACCAGCTTGGGCTGGTCTTCGTCAATAAGGCCGCCTTCGAGTACGGCCTCACTGTATTCACCGATGATCCACGTAGCCGCCAACGTGAGTGACTCTTGAGATATGTCGAAGCGCAATGACGTATAGAGCTTCGACGCAGTGTATGCTTGCAATTCTGGGGTGTGCGCTACCAATCGGATGAATGCCGAAAGGATCTCCTCCCTCACGGAGTTGCCAGCCTGCTTCGCGTCAGCAAACAGCTCTAGCACGAAACAGGCATTTGACTTACCAGCTTCAACACCCGGAGAACGGTATCGATGTGCCACCGCTTGTTCGGCGCGAAGCGTTCCGCAGCGAGGCAGATCTGCGTCGTCATGCCCAGCTTGAACTCGTCATCGGCGACCTCTAGGAACGCGAGCAGCTCGCGGATGAGAATGCGGACGTTCTGTTCGTTGATCAGGGCGTAAGACAATTCGAGCGCACGCCGACGGATTGAGATGTCGCCGTCGCGAAGACAATCGAGGATGATGTTCCGATGGCGTTGTACTGCGTTTGTATCGATCGAGACCACCTTGTTGAGGGTGTTCAGGGCAACGTAGCTGAGTGAGTCGAGTGATCAGGATACAGCGTGAGTTGGATGTTCAGATTGGTTAAATTTACCGGATGTTGTTGTCACGGTTGCTGAGGAACTTTCCGAGGATGTTGATAGCCATGACCCGCAATCCACTGTCTGCTTCGATCTCGAGAACTGTCATGACCGTCTCGTACAGAATCGAGTTGCCGACATTCTTGGTGGACTCTGTGTTCGTCGCGACCTACATTGCGATGCAAGGGCTCAGTGGTGGCATCAAGGTCGCTGGGACACAACATACTTGAGCCAGGATATCGTTCATTGTCTCACTGGCCTTCGCGTCGCCCTTTCCGAGAAGACGGAGCAATCGGAGGATCTTCACTTGCAAGAAGGGATCTGTGATACCAGATACATCATGTTCAGGGCTATATCCTGTCGTCACCAGGGACTTCAAGTGTCGGACAAGCAAAGGCACGGCCTGGCAATCCAGCGAGCCGTCAGAACGTGCGTACATAGAAGAACTAAATGCATTCACGTTGCGGAACTCCTCAAGACATGTTGCATCGGTTTGGCACATCTCCGTGACCAAAGTGATCGCAGTAAGGAGCACACCATGGTTGCGATCGGCAAGGAGGTTCTTCGCTTTGGCGATGAAGTGGTCTGAAAGGTCAGGTACTTTCCTGATTACCCTTAGAGCACATAGAGACGCCTGAGACAGTGCAGCCGTAAGTAGCGCGACTTGATGGGTCGCCCGAGTGACGCACTTTCTTCCGGATATATGTGTTGCTGGATCCGAGCAGCTTCTCGATCTCGTTCGCTAGGTCCCGGGACATCTCCTCCGACGCTATATCTGCGAATGTGCACAGGGCCAGCCAACAGCATACATGTTCGCATGGTTCATGTCACTGGTGAATACGTCAGCATCGACGCGGTAGATGAGGTTAAAGTACGCACTTCTTGAGTGAGTTCGTAACCAAAGTGAGCACCTCCTGACTCTCGTCTAGAAGCAGCATGATCCCCAGATAGCCTAATCGTTTGTCGGCGAAGCGAGGACTCGCGACCAGCTTGAGACATTCCATCTGGCCGAAGTGTGCCTCCGACCCCAGCATGTGGATATAGAGCAGCTTTGCGACATTGTTATGCCTTGCGTACGAGTCCTCCTCCCGAAATGATGCTCGAATGGCAGCCGATTCTTGCTTAATGAGTGCACGCTCATCTGCCACTGTCTGCTGGAATGAGGGATGCTGTGCATAGCGGCCGTGCGATATGCACTCACTTTACACGCGCGAATCCCCTTGATCAGGGCTGTGTACGCCGTCAGCAGCAGCGAGCGCAGAGGTTAAACAGGCATGCCTTTGAGGTTATGGTACACCATCGCTGCCGACCGCGCTGGTTACTTCGCCGTCTTACTCGCGGGCAGCGTACTCGACCTACGCGCCCACAAGCGCCGGAGACTACCGTGACGCAGGGGGTCACGCAGTGACCAAGCAGTGACGACCGAGGGCCACCGTGACGGAGAGACCATCGTCCGCGTCCATTACATCCACCCAGCTACTCTGCCGCTCCCTTCCTCACTCTGCGCCCATGGCGGCCTTCATCGCGGGAGGAAGGCCTCCCTCGCCCGTCGACGAAATCCTCAAAAATATGAACTTGACGCGTGAAGACCTCGCCAGACACAGCGAGCAAATGCGGCTGTTCTTGACAGGCGGGGCAGACTGCGCCTCCTCAAGCACTTTCCCCGCGCAACCTGCTTCGGCCAGTACACAAAGCTCTCTATCACGCACATCATCCTCCCGCGCAGTGTCGCGCTCGAACTCCGTCGTCAACACGTTTGGTCGTGCTGCGTCACCGTCGCCATCGCGTGTGCACGTAAAGCCTGAACCTGTCGAAGAAGCGCTCCCGACACGTACCCTTACACCATGGATCTTGTGCTAGAGCGCAAAAGTAAGCAGAGTAAAGAAAGGCGTTGTATGTTCAATTCCACCTTCGGGGAGCTAGGCGCTCACCAATCCTTTCAGCTTCCAACACACGCTCTCGCGACGACCGACGCGCTCACGAGTCGGATATATCCACGCCATCAACCGACATGACCCCTCAGGTGCGTTTGACGCGTCTTTAGTTTCAGAGATCGCGCGTTGATTGACGAGGTCATGCAACAGAGCACACCGCAAACACCTCACCACTTCAGACACTACAGTGACCGCGTTTTGGGTGATGCTTTCGCGTCCCGGGCTGTCTTGGTATGTATACGAATGCGTGCTGTGTGTAGTCATCTGACGTTTGTGTTCAAGCCTCCATTCGACGCCAGCGACCCCCGTACACCAAGACCGCGGTCTAAAGCGCGGGGGAGCAGTCGTGCAGCGACTCCGGCAGGACGTACAATTTACTCTCGTGGTCTGACTCCGCATCGTCCATCATCTCCTGGCTCAAGTCCCACGCGAATCGTCAACATGGTGTCTTCGCCAGGCCCGATGCGATCGTCGCCAGTCCGTCCTGCGAAAGAAACCAAATTGCCATATGTCCTGCCCCCTGGCCCATACTCAGAGGACAAACCAGACTGTGCCTACGCTGGTCTCATTGGGCAGGCGATTCTTTCTTCACCTGAGCATCGCTTGACGCTCCAAGACATCTATGAGTGGATCACCACGGTGCACCCGTACTACAAACGCGGGGAGCAGACATGGATGAACTCCGTCCGACACTGTCTGAGCACCATGGCGGTCTTCCGCAAGGTCCCCCGTGTCCGTAACGAGGGCAAGAGTTTGTGGGCCATCTTCGACGACGATGTAGCGGCGTTCGCAAGTGGCAGTTTCAAGAAGTCGCTCTGCGCGGACATGGTTAAGCAAGAGAAAGAGAAACAGGCCAAGCGTGGTCCTAGGAAACGTGGGGCGGCTATGGATGACGGCAGGGACAGCAAACGTCACAAGAGCGTGCACGTCGATGCTGAGGGGAGCCGTCCCGCTGCTCCTCACCCAATGCTGCCGCCGTACTTCCCTCCCTTCCATGTCAACCCTAACCAGCAGCCTTACTATCAGGCCTACGCCCCTCAGGCCATACCTGCGGAAGTTGTGTTCCCTCCCCTGCCTCCCAACGCGGGTTTCGCTAGGTCTGTGTCGAGGCCTATGTCTGTGCGGCCTACATCTTCGGCCGGCTCTATTGCTCCCCGCCCAGTCTCTGCCGCTGGCTCTGCAGCGACAGATGCGTCCATTGTCCGCGGACGCGACAGGTCGCCCAAGCCTATCTCATCATCCTCGTCGGTGCCCGCCCTCACGCCCAACTGCAGTTCCTCCTCGAGCCCGCCGCTTTCCTCGCATGCGAGCATGATGGACGATGCCCGGTACAGCTCGTCGCCAGCGCTATCGCCTATGAGGGTTGCTATCATGGATACTGATGATGAAGAGGACGAGCTGGACACGGGCTGGTTGCGCAGAGGACCCCCGATCCAAGCCCTGGCACCCAGTGCTACTCTCCTCAGGCCAGCCGAGTTCAATACTCCGCGTCGCTCTAAGTCCAAGCAGCGCGATGCACGGAACCGGTACAAGGTATGTCGGTCGTTTGGTGGTTGGAACGTTGTTGCTCATGCCTGGTTCGTCTCAGGCTCTGTCGGCTCGGCCCGCACCAGAATCACCCACCCTCGAGCACAGCGTCTTGAGAAGCAAGCAGAGAGAGGTGCTAGCCCGGAACTTGAGCACGCCTCCCCCAGAGAGCACGCAGCTGTTGCCCTTGCCGTCTACGCCCCCGAACAGGCCCTACACACCTCTGCGCAAGCAGCGCGTCACCAGCGGCGGCGTCCGACTCTCCCCCACTCTGACACCGATATCCCATGCCGGCTTGCACATGAGCCCCTCACCGAGTCTTGCCCACTACAAATCCAACCTAGACCCGCCCCCGCCCTCAATGCACTTCCCACAAGCCCCGTTGCTCGCCGTTCCCGGGAGCTCGCAGATGACGCCACCCCGCCAGACTGGTAGCGCGGACGTGCACACGCCTCTGCGCAAGGCCTCGGGCACGTCCGACAACGGTTATTACAACTTGTCGCCTTTCGCGCCCGTCACGCCCCAGCGGATCACCTATCCGAACTTCGACTCGCCATGGCGCACACCGTCGAGAAGCACCTACGATCCGCACGCGCCTCCTCCCTCCTTGACGAGGAGCTTCACAGGCAGAGCTTGAAGGATATCAGCCCGAGCTTGCTTGGGCTCGGCGACGCCGAAGGGCCTGTGGGATAGTCCCCTCGGGTCCAGCCCTAGTGTCGACCGTTTTGGGGTTGACCCATCTGGGTCTGCAAGGTACTGGTTTCTACTGTTTCCCTCTACTACCGCGGACGAGGATCTGGCATCTCCACGGACGATCTCGACCGTAATACCACCATTGGATACATCTCACCTCATGACTCTTCCGAACCTTCCGAATTTAGCCCTGTCCTGCCGTCCGCACACCTATGTCTCCTATCCCTGTTGCTTGGTCGCGTCGCGCATCTTTATCGTATCTATGTCGAGGGCCAGTGTAGCGTTGCTAGTCATCTGCATGAGTATTGTGTGGGTAGGCATTTGTCCACGATACATGTACTAGTACAGGCGTCGTACGTTGTAGTCCTTAGCAAGCACGTATATAGTAATGTTACAACAGTGTTGATTCTTGGCGAATAGCATGCATCGATAGCAAGGCGGTTGTATACATTGCAAGGTGCAAACAGTCCTATGGGGCGAACTCTGCAAAGAAGTGTAAACAAGAGGACAGTGACGGGACATTATCTCCCTCACCTTCCTCGTCAAGCAGCGTGCCTTCGTCAAGGCAACCTGTATGAACTCTGATATCACAGATGGCGACGCTGGGCCTACGCAGGATTTAGGTGCTGCTCTTTTCCAAATATAAGCTTACTTGGAGGTGCTGCATGAGCTCAAGCGGCGCTAGGATCCCGCTTGTCGACGACGACATGGTGAGCTTGGGCTCGTCCAAGTCGACGACTTTGCCGCCATTCTCTCTGATGGCCGCCGCTGCTTGTTCAAAACTGCAAATGGCTGCTTAGCAAAGCAGATCTCGAGTTGCAATGAGACTTGCCTTCGGCTGATGTCGCTTTCGTTCTTCGCCTTTACGCTCATGCCATGCTTCCGTGCGTTATCTGGCGTGTCGAGATAGAAGCAGCTGCATGGAATGAGCACTAGGTTGTGCATGTCGCGAAGCCACGTACAGATGCTTGAATATCAGGTCCTGGTCATACTCCATCGCAGTATCGTCTTCACCCATTCGGACGCCCTCATCGACCTATAGGCATGTGTTAGTAGAATCAACCGCGGCGAGTCTCACTAATGCTCACCTGAGATATGTGTGCATCGTTCAGCTGCGACTGACGTCGTTGATAAGCGCTACAAGTTGAAGGTGAAACAGACAAGACTCACACTAGCGGCATCACAGGAGAACTCGCTGAAGGGTCCTCAGGTTTCACGTTGACCCAATCGTCGCTGTCATCCTCGTCGGGGTGGTTGTCTTCATCTCGGTTAACGTCTTCGTTATCCGAGTCTGCTTCCGTCTCGCTGTCCGTGACTGGACGCTGGACCTCCGGTCTCTGCGACGCATTCTCTTTGACCTTGAACCAGTCCGCCAACTCGGGGTCTTCTTCCTCAGATTCAGTCTTGTCATCGTCAACTTCAACCGGTTGAGACACCTGAAGTGCGATACTCGTTGAAGGCTGTTCAGCCTCGTCTTCTGTGTCTTCGTCCACATCATACTCATCATCCTTTAGTCGACGGGAGGTAGCGTGAAAGAAGTATCTAGCAATTGCCTCGGTGAGTTCCGCCAGCGCAAATGAGTGAGAGGTAAGTGTACTTCTTCGTGAACGGTACCAGCTCTTCCTTCGCGATACAATCCATAATCCACTGGGGCCTGATTATGTCGCAGACCCCTTTGTTCATGATGAGCTTGATGTCATACGCTGACCATTTTCTGAGCCGTTGTTCAATAGAAGATACGTGTGTGAACTCACGGGTGCTCGCGCCCCCATAGACCACCAACAACTTGGGGTCGTCTCTGGCGATTTGAACGTAATTACCACCGTTTGCATGGACCCTGTCTCGAGAGGATCAGAACCCACTCTACTCCACTTCTCAAGCCAACTTACAACTTAAGCAGTTCGCCCTTATCCTTTTCACCTGTCCTCGACTTGGGATCTGATGCGACCACTGAAGGAATGCTGAGAATCGTGGGATGGTACTTTCTGATCTCACTCACTGAACTTCATGCCTTTGAAAAGGTCGCTCTCGACTTCGATGTCCTTGAGATTGACACCTTGATACTCGGGCATAATAGTCACCTATCTTCGATTAGCTATCTCATAAGCCAACTTCACTGACCTGAACACTGACCGGTTTCCTGATCTTCTTCTGCTTCTTCTTTGGCTTACTGTGGGTATACAGAGTTGTTATCCCGTCGGAGGAACGTAGGGCACACGTACTCGTCCGAAACTTCCATCTTGCGCTTCCTCTCCGAGCGCAAGCTCTCAAAGACCGCTGTGCATTGTTTGAGAAGCGATGTGGTGAAAGAAATCACATCGCACATACCGGTAGCCGTCATACAGTCGCTGATCTCCAGGTCATCCCGGATCTGCAACGCTCGAGGGAAGCGCATCGTCAAGCCCATATGACACAGGTCTACAAGCGGGCATGTCACATCTGAAGCAACCTCACCATCTTCAAACATATAGCCTATACTCACCTGAGGAAGTAATCTCAGCAGCCTTGACTTTGACAATGAACGAACTTCAGACATAGCGTGGGTCAGGATCGTCGCAATACACGCATCAAGAACAACGTACTCCTCGGGCTCCAGGTAGACGTCGCCCTTGTCCTCCGTCCCCTTCTTCGACGTCTGGAGGAAGCTCGGCGGGTTCTTCGGGTCCCACTCTTTCCATGGCTTCTGGCGGACCCAGATATAGTCCGCATAGGAGAGACCAGTGCCAATCCGGACGAACGAACTATATCTGAAGAGGACTATGCATCAGAGGGGACAGAGTCCTCGCAGGACACACGTACTGGGGCTCGTCATCGTCCGAGGGACGACGATCGTCGAGGACAGCGCAAATCAACGTGGACACACCTCCGGACCGCCTGCCGGTACCGTAGTTGCCAGCTATGATGAGACATCAGTTTGGCAAATTCACTGGATAGGGAGATGCGGGTGCAATACGCACCTACAACAAGAACATCGACTGTTTCACCCATGTTGTCCTGCGACACTTCAGCTTGACGGCGCTACATACGAAGATGGAACACTGACCATATACTCTGGCTTCACCTGTCCCCAATCATCAATACAACACCCTCTACGAACCGCAAGGACCCACTCACCTTAATCCAATCCCGATTCCTCCCATTCAACACATACTCCGAGTCCGGGTGCTTCATCACGAGGCCCTCCCCGCGCCCCGCCATGATCTCGTCCATCCGGACGCGCACGTCTTTCGCGGTCTTGCCCTCTGACTCTGTCACGAACTCGATCCGCCCCGGCACCTCCCGCAGGCAGGAGCGCAAGTTCCGTTTCCGGAACTTGACCGACTTATGCAGGAGCGAGAGTCCGTTGAGGTAGAGGAGGTCGAAGACCTTGACTAGGTGAGAGGTGAGGTGGCGAAAGAAACAGAAAACCAAAACAGAGCAGGAACGTACAGCATGGGCGTGGGCTTGCCTCTTTCTTCGACTTGTCTACGAGAAGATAAGCCCGAGAAGGGAGAACAAGTAAAGAAGGTCACGTACCAAGCGCAGCTGTCTTGAGGGTACCAAACGGCAGGTTCCGCTCAGAGACGGGATCCCATACGAGCATCTCTCCGTCAAGGATGATCCTGTAGAATTGTCAGCTGTGTTAATGCATAACCGACAGCAAACTCACTCATCCACTCGCGGGTCGAACGCCCCATGGATGTAAGGCGTCAAGCTCCCGGTGCCGACATGTTTCCCATACAAATACGTGTAGTCCTTACCCTTCCTGTATCGCGGACAACCGACGCTCATCAGCTCAACCCCCCTATTCACCGACGCGGGCACATAAGGGTCGGAGTCGCGCACCTGGAACAATAGAAATACTCGTTCCCGCGCTTATGCAGCTGCATCCGCTCGCCGTCGAGCTTCTCCTCCATGATAAACGTGCGGCCCTGCATCTCCTTTACGCTCTCCTCGATCCGTCGTGTCGGCCGCTTACACAACATCGGCGCGAACGCGCGGAAGAGCTGTGCGCCTTTGTCCTGCGCACACACGGCAGAGTCAACATCTCGCGCGCGACTGTGACTAGGGGAGGAAAAGGCGCACCTCGTCGTTCAGCCGCCGGGCGGGGTCCCAAAGCTCCCAGGCGATCTTCTTGAGGTCAGAGCAGGTGTTGAAGAGGTCGTGCGCGTCGGGATGAAAGACGGAGAACACGGTCGTCTCTTTCACCGACATCTGCATATCTTGCCGCGTAGGAGTGAGCAAGTACCCACGGACGAGGAGACGAGTGATGCTACCTTTGAGGATGATGCGGACGATCCATCGTTGCTCCTCGGGCGTGCTGCGGTTGTACACTCGTTGCAGGATCCTGGACTGGACGTCTCTGAAGTGCGCTGGTCAGCGTTGATGGACAGGCGGATGAGGGGCGTAAGACGTGCGATTTGCCCATGTTCTGTGCCAGTTCGTCCAAAATGTCGTTCAATTCGTCGACGGTGAGCGAGCCTTCGATCACGGAGGACCGCTTGCTGATGACCTCGTAGAGCACAGTGGGGAAGTCGCCCGAGGATTTCTGCACCATCACATAGCACCATCGACACTCATTCAGTAGAACATAGATGATGAGGTGAAACTGAACGGACATCTCGCTCAGTGGGCTTCTTCCAGTTCAACATTCGGATGGAGTCAGGGTCTCTTGTGCCGAGAGGGATGAGCTTGATGTATGTCTTTGCGAGGTTCTTCTCTTTCAGACCGTACACTGCGCGCTCACGGTCTTTCTGTATGTTTCATCAAGCAAGCTGCGCATCAAGAGCCGTAGGCGGACTTGCCTGGGGTAGTATCAGGCGGAGCACAGGAAACAAGTCGTATCCCTTCTCTTCCCTCCAATGCTACATGATGGTCAGACAAGACTCGATGGTACAGGGACAGAGGAAGACGGTGCTTGCATACGTTAAACCACGAGTCCAGTAGCTTTCTCCGCTTCTCAGGCTTGCGTTCGGTCTGGAGCTTGTCGAAGAGAGCCGCGAGCACATGGAAAGGCGCGCTGCCGCGGTTCTTTGGGGGAGCTGGGTACACAATGGCATGGTCCTCAGCAGCAACTGCGGATAGCTTGGGAGAGGTTGGAGGAGAAGACGGAGCAGGCGTAGGCAGCATGGTGAAAAAGGCGGCAACTCCGTGATACGGCTGAGTCGCTTTCTCTGCAGATGGTGAGTGGCGAGCTGCTTGCGGTCTTGCAGCGTGTCTGTAGCAGGTTATATACGTTTCTGACACGCAAGTATATTGGTGGGCCAGTGCGTAATGACCAGCGTCGACAGTCAATGTGGTCGAAATGACCGAGCTTGAGTCGCTCGCTCCCGCCGGGACCCATTTGGGTGACGCGCCGCCACAGCGCGTCGCGTCACGCTCACGTGTCAATGAGACCGTCAGTGCGCTCGAGCGCCGAGCGACCACCCAGTCGCGACTTCCATCGAGCCTCTGACTACTTACAGAAGTACTTACTTCTTGGATCCGGAACATCGTCGCCCTTGCAGCAGACATATGACAAGAAATCCAAGCTCATTGCTACTTCTGCACAAAGCGTTGGAGCGGCCCAAGAGCGGTCAGTCACCGCCGTCCAAATCTCGAACGCGGCCATACAGTCACGCTAAGTGGTCTTCAAGTTGTCATCAAGTTCGTGTCTGTCAGCATGGCAGTATCTTCAGCCTGGAAAATTTCTCTGTAGTATGTTATGATTGTTATCTATGTTCGCTTCTCGACGCACTGGCAGCTCCTAACAGCAAGCTCCTAGTATCGCAGGTATATCACAGCCGCAGTTAGCGCATGGCCTAGACTCATGATCAACAGCCACAGGTTTCATTCGACGAGTCTATGCTGCACATTCCTCTGAGAGTGATGATCCGATGCCCAAATTCACCTTGGTACGTTGTCCAAGCCTCAATTTCTGCTGGTCGGGGGATCTACTGGCATGTCACGAATCGTGACCCAGCCCCATGGCACATCATCGCACCACACATCGCCCTGCAGGTATCCGGCATAATTCCCGCAGCTACCCAAGGACCTCAACCCTCGATTCTGGAAGTGAACTCGAGACTTTCAGCGCTCGGCCGATGCAACAGCCCTCCGTCAATGACTTCGCGGTCATGCGCCTTGCGTGTGGCAGCTCCGGGCGCTGCGCAGCACAATATCTCGGGCATGGACCTCATCCTGACAGCAATTTTCAGAACGTTAGTCACTTGCAAACGCGCGCGACAAGTGATGACTAAGCACTCCAGCCTTCGTGAAGTTGGGGAGAGCGGCGCGCATCGTTCTTCTGCACCACTGTAACCTGCGCAAAACCTCTCGCAAAGACATACTTACGCGACATGATCCCGTGAGCAATTGGGTCAACGCGAACCAATTATCCTGCACAACACGTCTGCTCGGCCTTGCTCTACCACCACTGACATTGCAGTGAACCTTGTTGTGCCTTGGTTGCCAGTCCGAGTGAGCCATGTAGAAAGAGTTCAATTATCCGGACTCGGCGAGCGTCAGGGTAGCCCTACACTACTACTATAAATGGTAGAGAAACAGGACCACGATTCAGATCTATATTATCCGTCGCAAATCCGTCGTGTCCGCTCGTGCGAAGGTGAGACGAATGGTGCAGAAGAGTGGTGCCCGCCGCTTTCCCCGACTTCTTGGAGGCTGGAGCGCTTAGTCATCGTTTGTCGCCCGTGTTTGCAAGTGACTAACGTTCTGAAAATTGCTGGAAGAATTGAGAAGATCCGGGTCGCTGGGCGTGTGGTAGGGCTAAACTGGGGACAGACCGATGACGTCGATCGAACGCGGCCCCGACAGGACTGCCTATCGGGCTCGGAGCAACCAACCCTCAGCCGGTCCCTTCGTCCAGGCGCCACCGTTCGTGGACACTCGGTACCCACCCTCCTCATAATCCCAATGACCATCTTGTCACTACCATGGGGCATGTTCTATATAAACAGGAGCGCACCACCGTGCTCCAGCCTTGACGCACACGACCAGTCCCCAGCCCCTATACCACCCGTCTCGCCCTCACACTAGATACCACTGCGCTATGCTCATGACATATATGAACGCGGACATGGCTTCTTCCTCTGTCTCTCGCATGCACTCCCCTGCGCCGGATGTCATGCAACCAACCACGAATACCACGCCCTTTCCCGGCACGCCTGTGACTTTAGAGAACGTGTCGGGATTCCCCAGTCCCACAGAACGGCTCGAGACGCGCACACGCACAGTGCGTAAGAAGAAGAGCTCGCTAGACCTGCGGGACATCTACCGCAGTGGGGGACTCATGCCGTCCTCGGGAGCTAGGCTATAGTGGTAAGTACCATCTTTGCTGCTTCTCTCATCCTCTGTACTAACGTTGGTAGCAGATGGACTGTCACCGTGCCGCGCTAGAGCTGCGCATGCATTGCGCATACACGACGTAACGATCTTCATGAACTCATGACAATATCCTTGGCCTTCTGTATCTGTCGTTCAGTCCTGTATCGGGTTGGCGTGTATCCATACTTACATTCGCATTGCTCTCGCTGAAGTGTGTAATCGTTCCGCATGTCGTAATAGACTGTAAGACATTTACATTCAGTCGAACCGACGAGCAGGGAAGCCGCACGCCGAGACGTTAGCCTACGCGGGTCTCCGGTATGTATCCCGAACCAGAGTGCAATACACCTCCAGGCCTCAGGACCCATCATGGCATACGATAAGCCTGAATGCCTACCCCCAGCGCGCCCGCCTGTGCAGACTAACAGACACGCGGGAACCTCGCACAGATCCCCTCCCCAGGCCATAGCCGCTTTCTCCCAACCTCAAGTCAGTCTTCGAATAACGGTCTGAACGCCTGCACAAGACCCGAGTAACGTCAATCAGCCATCCCGTCAACTGGCCAGCACCCAATCTGTGAGTAGAACTCACCTTCGTCCCACCGCCCGGCTGCGTCGGCTCCATCTCCACCTCAACCTCCATCTCGTCCTGGTCGTAGATCTCCAAGCTCCCCTCCCTCCCCGCGCCCGCGCCCACACCCAAATCCAAATCGAGGTCCTCCCCAAACTCGACCTCCTCCCCCTCGCCCTCGAGCATCGCCGCGAACTCGTGCGCGGTCATGTGCTCGATCCCGAGCCCCGAGTCCCGGATCGCCTGCGAGAGCTGCGTGCCCGGCAGGAACAGCGGCTCCGGCTCCGCCCCCGCCCCGTCGCCGTCGATGTGCATCCGCAGCTCGGTGTCCTCCGCCTCCTCGGGCTGCGAGCTCGGGAGGAACAGCGGCTCACGCGCGCGGGCCGCAGAGGCGCTCGATGGGCGGGCAGTCGGCGGACGGGCGGTTGGTGGGCGGCTCTGAGGGCGGAGGGACAGCGGCGGCGGTAGGGACGGAGGGGGCATCATAGATGGCGGGGGCATCATAGACGGTGGGGGCATCGACTCGCGCATCGGGAGCGGCGTCGCGCGGGGGGCGCCCCCGTCCAGCTCGCGCACGACGGACGCCCTGTCCGTCGTCTGCACGACCTTCATCGGCCTCCTCCGCTCTGAGTTGGCGTCGGACACGACGCTCGCCTCCCGCGAGCTCTGCGCAGAATCGTGTTCCGTGTCGTCCACGGAGCGTTTGCGCTTTGGCGCGGCGCGGGGGCGGGGCCGTGCGCGCTGGCGCGCAGGGACGACATGTGCGCCGAGGCCGCTGGTGGAGATGACGGAGAGCGATTCGGAGAGGTCGCCTGAGAGGTCGATGAACACCGGTGCGGCCGGGTCGGTGAAGCTGATGTCGAGCGGGAGGGTGGAGGCTTCGGCGAACGCGATCGTGGCCTACGTGGAGATTGGGGAGACGTCAGCGGAAGGGTATATGCGCGAGAACTAAAGAGTGAGGAATATCCCTCACGTTGAACTCGCGCAGGTGGAAGGAGAGCGTGAGCGGCGTGTCGAAGACTTCGTACCGGTCGAACTCTTCTGCGCTGATCGTGAGCTCGGTTGCGAGCTGCGGGCCACCTGGGACACAATGTGATCAACTCCTCGTTGTTGTATATGAAGCTCGTGGTACATGCTCTTGCTGGTCATGACTGTCTCCATGCCTTTGACTTGCACGTCATAGTCGTTGAATGTCCAGATAAGCTGAGGATCGCTCTTCGGCCCCTTCTGCAGCGGGAAGTGTTCAATCACGTCTCGCACGGCGCGTGCACCGATCGACAGGCGCGAATGGTACTGCGCGGTGGGTATCGCCGGAGCGAGAAGAGAATTCGGGGTCTGCAGCAGCAGCCTATGCGTCTTGACCACACCTGCACAACGCCGCTCAGCCCTCGCTGCTCCGAAAGGCGCATACACGGAGGCCCTACCGTGTTTGCAGTGCAAGCGCACCGTTAACCTGCTCTCTAGCGAATCGCGGTCACCCTCGTCCCCCTGGCCCTGCGCGTCCCCGTCCGAGATGACCAGCTCGCACTTCTCCACCGTCTTCTCCACCGTCTTGTGCTTCAGGATCGACAGGAGGTTCTGCGCAAGCGCGAGCATCAGCACCCGTCCGCTCTGAGGCACACTGCGGCGCGAAGACCTTCGTCTGGAGCTGGCCCGTCGCGGGCGCGACCTCGTCGACGTCCATGTCGAGGTCCGCGGCGGGCCGCGCGATGCTGTATCTGCTGAAGAACTGCCTGCGGTATTTGAACCGGCAGAACGCGGACTGGGACTGGTTCGTCGTCGAGAGCGCGAAGGTGTCGGGGGTTGCGTAGATCGTGAGCTCGTCGCCGTACCGGGAGAGGCAGGCGAGTGCTCTGGTAATTTCTGTGGAATGCTTTGTGTCAGTCGAGGTGGTAGCGTATGCTCAGCTCACGCTTGAGTGCACTGGCGTCGAGAGTTGCCTGCATGATTGTGGGTGGTCGTACAAACTGATTATCCGCGTATGATACAAGTCCAGGTTTCAAGAGAGCAGAGGGATTTGATTCGGCGCATGCAGAGACTGCCCGGTATCAATTCGTTGCGGAGAGATGCCACCAGCAGTGGCAGGGCAGGGTACTCAGTGGCGAGTGGGATCTCAAAACGCAAAACGACTCACGATCGGACGCGTAGACAGCGTGTGACGCTACGCGTAGTCGTCGGTCACACCGCGACCGTGACTCCACTCTGTGCGATCCTCAATTCGCATGTATAAATCCAACCACTAATCTGCGCTATACAATATTGATATAACTAGATTTCATGCGACTCTATGGGCGCACCGTGCCATTGTACAGCTAGGTCATCAACTGGCATTAATACATGTGCAGACCCTCTCCATCGGAGAAGGCGAGACACGCCCTAAGCTCCGTGTCTATAGCTACCTCATCTGACCCTGCCTGAGATGTGCCTTCATCCCACAATTTGAGAAACGCGCGACAAGCCCCATCGTTTCCGATCTACGTGACTGCTCGGTCTGGATCCTGCTTCTTGCAAGCTCTCCGTGACCAAGAACTCACTGACGCGTGTCTCATGAGTGCGACAGCGTTTACCGCACAGAACGGAGCACGAGACATGTGCTCTGAAGATTGTAAGTGGAGTACAGCACGGGGTGCACGTTCATAGAACGCCAGCGCTGGTGCCCTTGTTGAAAAATGTCGCGCCTGCGTCCGTCAAGCGGTACTGAAGCGCGCTGCTCCGTGGGACGACTTTGACTTGGGCCGTCAGAGGACAGCACGTTCCTGCATGCAGGGCGATCTACGACGGTGTCAGACCGGAGTGCCTTCTAGCCAGATACTTAGCATACCTCGCCGGAAACTGCGCCGCTGCGCCCACTAGACAAGGGCCGCACGTCGACGTGATAAGAAGCGAGCTGCAGAAGGTGTCGAAGCAGATCATCTGGGTCGCCGGGCGTTATGAGGTGGTGTCGCATGACGAGCGCAGCGTTAGCCTGGCCGAGCAGGTATATGAGCACTACGTGTCGGAGTGGGGGACTTGGCGGCCTACCTCTCGACACGATGCAGACAGCGCGCGCAGGAATCGTGATAGCTCGATCGTCGAGTATCCGATCCATTCTAGGGGCGAGAGGTCGTCCAGGATAACGAGGGTACGTCCCTCGTCCGGGGCGGCGGCTTTCAGCTGCGCTCGCACAGAGTCGTACAGCGGGCGCAGCGTCGCGCTCGACTGGACCTGCCCGAGCACATCGATGAAGGACAGCCTCCGCGAAGCGGTGTGCTGATCCAAGCTCACGTTCTGCGCACGCGTGAGTGGGTGAATCGGGCTGTGATAAGGAGGCGGACGCACCGACTTCGCAGCGATATGTTTCCACCGTGTCGGATCATTGAGCGTGGCAAGGATGAGACATCTCGTCTGCGCCCCGGTTCCCCGCACGTGCTTCAAGTGGTCAGCGAGCAGCTTGTGGAGGAGGAAGTCGGCTGGGGATGGGAGTTCGTCGGTGATGAGCAGCAGCTCGCCGGGGAGAGGCAGGCCGGCTGGAGGGAACATCCTGAAGGTTCAGTGAAAGGTGGTACGAGTGGCTGTGGCCTGTTGTGTGCGTGAAGGATCGCCGTCTGCCTGGAATCAAGAGTCCTCTGGCAGGATATGTCAGGTCGCGAGAACAAACACGATCGCCTGCAGACTGCAATGTTCTCAGCGGTGTCAGCTCGAATAGGCGATGTCAGCCGGGTGTCAGCAAACAGTTTCTGAAGGGCGGTTTGACAGTCGTACCAAGACTGCCTAATCAGGAAAGTCGAGCGTAGAGATCGATAACAGGCGACAGTCTCCGAGTCGATGCCGTCGCCACCGCGGGGCGTCGTCGAGGCTTTTGCACACGACGCCGAGGCCAGTCAGTGCGCCGTTGACCTCGCTGGGCACGACGGCAGACGGCGGAGGAGAGCGTTTGCTGCGCGGATTAATATAAGCGTGGGGATCGCCGGGGAGGTTAAAGGCAAAGCGGCCCACAGCCACTGCACTCACCTTCCTTGTTCTGATCGTTGTCGGCCGCGCCTGCGACGACCTGCGGCTCATCCCTCCTGCGTCCCAGCCTCCCCACGCCGCCGTGTCCCCATCTCGTCCATGTCGGCGACGTCCCAGAGCGCCCTAAACCAGAGGCAGTTCCAACCCCCGTCGTCTAGCCGCCACTCCAAGATCACTGTCGAGTACCACCGCCCCAGCCGCGAGTCCATCCAGGAGTACAACGAGCTGCTCGCAGAGGCCAACCTCCACGCCGCGGCCGCAGACGGCTACCAGGACCCATACCTACCGTCCAGGCAGGCGCCCGCCCCTCCCCCATCCAAGAGCAGGGTCCGCAACTCTCTCCAGAAGCCGCCACCACCGCGCAAACACAGCCTGACCGCCTCCAGCGTGTCCAAGAGCATCGACCGCGATCCCTTCGCCTCCCACCGCTCCATCAGCAACGGCAGCGCCCCCCCTGCGACCATGAACGGCACAGTGCCTCCTCCTCGCCCATCGCGGGCCAACACCGCCAACCTGACCGACCTCTTCCCCAACCAGCGCAACACCGCCAACCCACGCATCTCCGATCCGATAAGCTTGCCGCTTGACACGGTCTTTTACGTCGACGACCAGCAGCAGTCCCCGCAGCAACTCTATCCCGCAGCCCCGCCAGTCCCGGCCGCCCAGCCCACCCAGCCCACCCAGCCCGACACCTTTGACACGCAGGGCATGCAGGACTCGCTTGGCTACGGCGTGGCGAACACTGCGCCGAGCGCACCGCCGACCACGCCTGGCACGCTGCGCGGGCGGAGCGGGACGACGTCAACCAAGTCAAAGAAGAGCGTCTTTGGCTTCGATCTGCCGTTCTTGAACAACAACAAGCGGCCAGAGATCAGCACGCCCTACGACCCCGTCCACCTCACCCACGTCGGCTTCAACTCGTCCACCGGTGAGTTTACTGGTCTGCCCAAAGAATGGCAGCAGCTCCTGCAGGAGAGCGGTATCTCCAAGCTCGAGCAGGAGAAGAACCCGCAGGCGGTCATGGAAATCGTCAAATTCTATCAGGAGGGCCGTGGGGACACATCTGTCTGGGACAAGATGGGTGCAGTGCACGCACCCCCGCCCGCCGTGGCGCCCCAAACGCAACCGAAGCAGTACGGCGACGATGGCTTCCAGAACCCAGTGAGTACATCCGTTGCCCGCTCCCGCAGTCGGCATGCTGAGTGTATACAGCGTGCTGCACCTCCGCCTCCGAAGAAGACGCCCTCCGCGCCTCCCTCCGCGCAGGGCTCCCCTAGTCCCCATCGCATAGCACCGCACCCACCGGCCACGACCACCGCGCTCGACCGGTCCACCTCCCAGCGCCTCCCCCAGAGCAAGCCACATAAGCCTGGCGACCAGCTCTCGCGCTCGAACACAACGCGCGATCGGCGCTCGCCTGGGCCCGGCAACGGTCAGGCGCCTCCGCCGCCCGTCGCGTTCCCATCGCAGAAGCCGACCAAGACTTCGCCGGGCTCCTCGCAGACGGACCTCCGCCTCAAGCCGTCCGCGTCCATGCGCGAGCGCGAGCGCCCCGGCCCAGACTCTCGTTCGCCGCCACAGCAGCAGCAGCCGAGTGCGGCCACGGCGAGCCTCCAGAAGGTGGCGAACGGGCCGGGCGCGACCCCACGACGGAGGGAGAAGAAGGAGAAGGACAAGGCGAAGGACGAGGACATCGTGAAGCGGCTGCAGGCGATCTGCACGGATGCGGACCCTACGCGGCTCTACCGGAACCTTGTCAAGATCGGTGCGGGGTGAGTAACAGGACCCTGATGACATGCGCGGGATGCACGCTGACAGCCAGGCACGCGCCCGCAGCGCTTCGGGGGGCGTGTACACTGCCTATCAGGTCGGGACGAACATGTCGGTCGCGATCAAGCAGATGGACCTCGAAAAGCAGCCGAAGAAGGACCTCATTATCAACGAGATCCTCGTCATGCGCGCGTCGCGCCACCCGAACATCGTCAACTACATCGACTCGTTCTTGTACAAGAACGAGCTCTGGGTCGTCATGGAGTACATGGAGGGCGGCTCGCTGACCGACGTTGTCACCGCCAACCTCATGTCGGAGGGCCAGATCGCCGCCGTCTCGCGGGAGACGGCGCAGGGCCTCGAGCACCTCCACCGACATGGCGTCATCCACCGTGACATCAAGAGTGACAATGTCCTCTTGAGCATGAATGGCGACATCAAGCTGAGTGAGTACACCATTTTTGTGACGCCGCGAACAGCAGAGTCTGAAGGGAGTCCCTAGCCGACTTCGGTTTCTGCGCGCAAATCTCGGACGGCAACGCGAAGCGGACGACGATGGTTGGTACGCCATACTGGATGGCACCCGAGGTCGTTACGCGGAAAGAGTACGGGCCAAAGGTCGATATCTGGAGTTTGGGGATCATGGCAATAGGTGGGTCGGGCATCCTTTAGCGCCTGTGACCCAGGTCTCATGGACTTCGATAGAAATGATCGAGGGCGAGCCGCCATACCTCAACCAAAATCCGTTGAAGGCGCTATACCTCATCGCGACCAATGGCACGCCCGCCATCGCCAACCCAGAGGCACTCTCGCCCGTCTTCCGGGACTACCTTGCGAAGACACTGGAGGTCGATGCGGAAAAGCGGCCGAATGCGACCGAGATCCTTCAGGTACGACACACTTCTTCATTTACGTGGGCATCCCTGACTCACTCTTCTCCCTACAGCATCCGTTCTTCAAGCTCTCGGAGCCACTGAGGACACTGGCACCGCTGATCAAGGCCGCGCGGGAGATTGCAAAGTCGAAGTAAAGGCTTCGGGTTTCTGTCGTCTTGAGGTTTCTACTGTTACCATGTCATATCATGCATCGATCTACGCTCACTCTCCTCTGGATCTCGCTTCATTCCTCGTCTTTCGTTTTTGCAGTGAGTCGTGTACTGTTCTACGTGGGGACGCCGCAGGTCAGGCGGGGGAAGAAGAAGGAAAGGTTCGCGCGCCGCATGACCCTTTGACGGCCCTGTGTCGTGGCAGGGCTTGTATTCATACATGATATACACCTGTGCGTGGTTGATACCCGTGATCAGTAATCTTCTCTCGCCTTGTTCGGCGTGATGGGGACGGTTGCTTTCGCATAGAAGAAAAGTGTATAGCAAGTGCATGCAGCGTACTGTCCAGATTTTTCCATAAGTTATGGTGTTGCTTCTGACGAGAGGGATAATGCGTCGGAGAAATGGGGGGTACATCATGAAAGCACGAGATTGTGGGTATGTGTATGCTACAGTATGTCCATGAGACGCAATGGAGAGAAAGTCGACCCAGATGGCTGGTAGGACGTAAACTTCAGAGGTGAGGACTCCAACCTGTGATGCAATACTGAGTGAACATACTTCCGAGCACGACGTCTGAACGTACCGCAGAACATCTGGGCAAGGTTTCCAGGGTCTGTGGCTTCAGTGACCAACTCGTTGACAGTATACTCGATCGAGAGCGTCTTGTCCAATTTCCGCCTTACCGCGGTCAGAGCGCGATCGGCGGCTTCATCGGCGGAGCCGCTAGCCATGTCAATGCCAATCATCCAACGGACGGCCTCTCCGGTGAACGTTGCATCGTTGCCCGACCCTTGCACTCGCTTCATCTTCACTTCGCTCGCAACCCTAATGACCTCTCAGCACAACACGACTCGCGCGACAGTCATGGTCCTCGCACTGACCAGGAGTGCAGAGGATCGTACTTGAAGACCTCCAAAACAGTCAGGACGACTTCAGACTCGTCCCGCAGAACACGGAGGGTTTCCTCTGCGCATCTCTGGAATACACCCTGAGTGCCAGAGGTACCCAAGCCATCCACGACGTCAGCCGTCAAGCGGAAGGGGACACGCTCCGGGATAGGCAACATTTTACCCTGCCAACGAATTGAGGATACTGGCGTGAAGACAAGTAGAGGGCTTACCTGGTCGAAAGCAATTCCGAGATCAATGTGGACCATTTCTCCAGTTGCATTATCCATAAGGATGTTTGAACAGTGCCTGTCACCGAGTCCGAGGATATGCCCAACGATTGCGTTCGTCGCCACACTGCGCGAGTACTTGAGACGCATCGTGAACCACGCGAGGGGCTCCTTGTGTCGCTCCGTGAAATAGTGGCGCATGACCGGTCTGAACCGTCGACGGAGCTTCACGAGGAATTCCAGCATCTGTGAACGATCGTTCTGACACTCGTGCTGCTTCTCTTTCAGCTGTCTCATTACGTCGTGTGATCGTATATCACCCGGTCTATACCTATGGGGAAGTGTCAGTCGATTTCAGTCAATTGATATACCGACACAGACGCCAGCCAACTCACCGCGAATGTGCATCGGGTAGCCATGTAGCCAATGGAGTGGTGTCTTGGACAAATTCCAAAATACCGGCTTGCGAGGCCAACGGAATGATTCTATACCCTCGTACTGCGAGATCTCGTCTTCGTGTTTCACGGTCGCGACGAAGGATGATGTTCACCAGCTCGAACACCTGCTCCATTACCGCGTCTTGTCTGAGATCATCGCCACCCTTGTACTGTTTGCGCATGATGAGTTACGTTCTCGCCGTATCTCTAGCTGTCGCTCACCAATTGTTTGTACTTTTGTCCATCCACTCCTACGCAGACGCATATTTTCGGCAGATTGAGCCCACCAGACGTAGAAAAGGTGGATTCGAAGTGACTGATCCAGACACAATCACTGTACTGGCAAGATGGATCAACGGGTGTATGAGAAGTCATGACCGGAACGCGCAAGTCGCGGATTCGCTTGATGGGAAATCCATCTGGGATAGGCAGGTTACCCTTCGCATCTTTCTTGACCTTGTACGTGGCCCATTGCAAAGACGCCCGAAAGAGTTGTTCGACATCGCTAAGACGGCCTTGCACTTGTGCATCGGTCCTCAGCTGGTCAATGATGGCACCGGCAGCCGCGGCTCTTTCTGCCTGCGAGGAAACGGTCTCGAGCCTGCCTGACTGTCGTCTCCCCGATGCTACGCCTGCAGAGCTTTGGTCTGATATCAAGCAGAGCACTTGATACAAGCTATGGAACGGGTGTTCCCTGCACATCCGAGATAGCAAGCTGTGGAGAAGTGCTTGATTGGATGTAGTAGCACGGGGCGAAGTGGACTTGGAAAGCCTAGCCGCTAGTTGGTGAGCAAGGAATACGAACTTGTGAGAGGCTACACGTGTCAGAGCAGCCTCAAAGCTGACATCGGTGTCCGTTCTGTCGAAATTTGCGAGCCATAACGAACACAGACGAATAATTGATTCGCTGTCATATGCGTCGGAATGAGCAAGACATTCAGAGTATGTCGTCATGGCCAGACCGAGGAAGCGATCCCGAGCATTCTTGTGTTCCTTGAAGCGTGCTTGATCATGTCTAAGCTCTTTCTCGGCCTTCTTGAGAGCGCGCTCGAGTTCGTGGCGTTCTTGAGTGTTGACTGGCACTTTCTGCATCTTTTCTTGACGGAGTCTGATCTCCTCTGTCTTACGATCCATGTAGATCCTCCATCGTAGAGCATCCGGAGAGTTGATGACAGAGTGGTACTGATGATCCGCGAAAATGGCGTATTGATGGAAGACGGCAGCACGGTCGGCAACGTTCGACGCGACCGTCACATCTGACAACAACTGTATAGCGGGATCGAAGTACTGTTCAATGATCTGATCGGGCTTGTCGAGGGACGCCTGCGCGGACCAGGTACCCTGAGCGAGTCATGAGGGTTAATGAGACGGTGATACAGACGTCTCTGCAAAACTCACCAAACGAGCTAGAAGCGAAGCGACGCGGAACTTATCCTCTTCTGGGCCCTTCTGCGCCTCCGTGGTCATCGTGGAAAGCGTGTCCTTGAGGAGGGAAGCTGCCAACCTCGGTTCCTTCATAAGCCACAAGACATTCGCGAACTCCTGGGTAACTTCTGGTACGCCCTCTCCTCCAAGGACCTGAGCTTGAGTTATCGCATTGAGCGCTGCCTGAGGCCTTTGAGCGTCCCTCGCGGCTTGAGATAGGCGAAGGAGACATCCCCTCTCCAGTTCCATCAGCGAACGACCCAAAGGAGAGAGAAGGTCTCCAATCTTGTCACGTTCCTCCTTTTGGCGTCGTGCGCGTATCAATGAAATGCGAGTGGCCATGAGGGATTCCATATCATCGAAACTGTATACTCAATCAGTGCCCCTAACATAGGCGAATTATAGTGGAAGCGGCTTACTTCTCTATTTTGGCAGTCTGGTCGAACGCGTTCCATACATGGTTGTAAGGCTGGCCGTTGCGCGAGCGACTCAACTGCATAAGCCCCTCATGTTTCCACCACCTGATCTGGTGAAGGCACATGAGGGTTTGAGTGGTATGGCGTATAGTAGTCAAGTTCTCGTTGCCTTGGTAATGGAGTTGCGCCAGCTCTTGGAAGAGCGACTGCCGAACGACGGTATCAACCCTGTTGGGATCTCTTTCGCGATAGAAAGCCCGCAAGGACACGTATAACGATGCCCCAGGGTACTGTCCTGCACGACACTCAGGGAGATCCCAAGTACCCGTGCGCCATCCGAGTTCGTACATCATAGCACTCTGGGAGTCATTGTTTTCGTGCGATTGGGATGTCACAGAACCCAGAGCCGTCATTGCAAGACGATCGAAACCGAACGCGTGCAAGGACTGGACTACTCCTTGGCCGTGAATTGAGTCAGATGGACGAGCGGTCAGAGCTGCTCCGTGGTAGCGAAACGCGGTGTCCCATTGCTTCTCGTGGTGGAGCCGTTTGATGAGGAAATTGCTCAAATTGCTGCTTCGAATGCCGTAGAAACCGTCCGGCTCGTCGATGCGACTGTAAATATCGAAGAGCGTATCTTCAGCCGCACTAGCATCCGATGCATCTTCCGATTCATTCTCCGCGGCCAACTCCAAGAATAGCAGTGCAGTTGTGTATGCACCGCATCTGACCGATTTCTTGCTGAGGAGCCTGAAGTCGTTTCGCAACCACACATCGTAAGCCAGTGCGTCCCTGACATCAGGAGGATGGAAGTGGCGAAGATGCAATACGGTATCAATGATCGCACGTAGGCATCGAACATCTACGTCTTCGTAATTCAAGACCGCATCGAAGTGGTCAGACAGAGCAAGTCGAAGAATCTGCCCGCCGTCCGAGTTACGCGCAGAGCGCTCCGAGGACAACACGGCATGCACCAGCACAGGCATAATATTCTCTGCAAATGTCGCGTTGGATTGGAGGATCAGGGACAGGGAGGCGTAGAAACGATCTCGTATTGCGAGGGCGCCGCAGAGGGACATGGACAGATTGGTGATCCACTCAGAGAAGTCTCTAGACGCTTGTTGTAAGTGGGTACTGGCGAGCAGCTGTGGGAGACTGCCGAAGTCCTTCTCGACGACAGGCACCGGATGGGCCTGAAGATGCGATAAATCCCCGGCGTATTCGCGGCACCACGTACGCAAGGCGCTGCTATCGAGGCTGCAAACGGACATCACAGAGCGGAGAGTACGATACGCAATGTTGATCTGTGCGGCAGATGATGCGTCCAACATCTCTAGCAGAGAGATGATGATGGCACGTTGTGCTGCATCCTGCGTGCCAGATCGCTCGAGTGAAGATGTCATTTGGCGATGCCTCTGGCGGATTGTCTGGATGGCCATCTCCGCACTTGCGTGTTCCGGACTTCGTATGGTACCGCCGTTGTGGAAGAGAAGCGCAACGAAGGCGTCGATATCATCATCGTGGAGTTTATCAGAGGATGGTATGCACTGTTTGAGTGTCCAGAAGCTCGAATCCACAAGGTGCTCTGCGAAACGCTCTTGGCCGATTGTGAGGTCGCGGATTCTGCGTGCCAACCGGAACTTGTGAGCCGTTACCGGCGGGTCACTGAGAATTTGGGAGATCTCCTGCACATTGAGACTATCCCGAAGCTCGACGAGCGCAGGGGACGTGTCAAAAGGCCAGGAGGCCAAAGCGCGAATAATCTGGGGACGCAATGCATCCCGTTGGGCTAGATTCTGCATTACCGATTCTATCCAGCCAACGAGGTCGTTAGCGAGTGCCACAGACGAAGTGTCATGCGGTGCTCGCTGATAGTCCTGAGCAATTGAACCAATTTGGACAAGAAGGTCAGACAGGTGGTAGCTGCGCTCCGTCGATCGTCGGTAAACATTGAAGCACCAGTCCAGAATCGATTGCGCAGCGCGCGCCATGTCCGCCTGTGACAATATAGTCGAAGCCATGTTCATCAGCGTCCGAAGCAACGTGGAGTCCTCGAAGTGCTGGCGACGCGTAGCGACCCAAACGCATATACCATTGAGTAGTCGCATTTGCTCATTGATGAAGGGGCAGCGTTCCATGATGGCGAAGAGCTGGTGAAGAACGTGGTACGTGATTGCAGGTGATTGTGCCTCGGGGACCCACGCAGTGAACCACTGCAAGGCTTTCAGAACGATCTCGGTGCTGTAAAACGGGAAGTTTGGCTGGTGGAACTGAAACTCGTCATGACGCCTGTAGTGGAACAGATGTTCAAGTACACGATCGCTGTCCTTGTCGTAGCCGGCCATTCGAAGACCAGCATGGACGGGCCCGTCACTCGATACATCTTGATCAGCCAGCGAGCGAACGATGGTGGCTACGACAACATCGGTCGTTCGACGGAGGCAGAGGTCGAAGATTTGCTGTCCGAGATCCCGCATCGTGTACTGGAGCTGCGTTGCCAGATCCTCTGGGAGATCGCGCTCTTCGTCCAAGGCAGCCCCTATGGATATGACGATCTGGTATCCAACGGTTTCAGGAAAACACTCCTGGAGTCCATCGACCAATGTCTTGTGAACGGCACCGCAGTGATTCTGAAACAGTTGATAGCCATGTTTGTACTCCTCATTGAGGAGATTGGCAGGCGCGAAGGAATGGAACGCCACTTCAGCGCATTGTCTTCTCTCTTGATACCCGAGCACGCGGGGCGGGAAGCTGAGGAAGTCTTTGCCTCCCTTGCAAATCGAAGAGGCCATTTGAGAGGCATAATGCTCGAAGAAGTCCGCGGGACCGGATAACCCTAGCCTATCTGCCACACCCACCAGTGCAGCCTCCATGTGGCTTGCGTATTTGGGGGCGTACAGATATCCTTCTAGCAAGTGCCAGTAAGCACCTCGCCTAACGGCAGAACTGACGATCATGGTATCGGCCAGGCAGAGTATGCGGGTCATCATCTTCTCAAACCTGCAGATAGGGAAATGAGCGCCGACAAGATCAGGAGTGCTGGTCACTTACTCTGTGTGGTCAGCGGTCAGATAGGGCCGCACTTTCTCGTACAGTGCAGACGGGTCCTGACCGAGCTTGCAAGCTCGCGCGAACATGCGTGCCACGGCAGCCGAGGCACGAAAGCGCACACGGATATCATGATCAGCTCCCAACTTGGGCAGTATGGATGCTGGAAGGAGGGGCGTCACGCCATCGTCTTTGCTCTCTTCTCGTCCAGCGGCAGAGTCGGCTCCGGCATCGTCGTCTTCCGCCGGATCTATCCAAAACTGCTCCCGAGGGTCTTGGGCGAGATTTGCGTCAAGAAGACGAACAACGACGTCCCGGGACTTCCACGAAGTCAATTTGCCGCTCAGGAGCTTCGCCGCCAGACGACTCCAGAGCTCCCGAACAGCGTCGCAGATGTTGTTGGGTGTCGCCCGATCAAGCCAACATGCCATGGTAGAATGTAGGAAGTGCAAGGACAGACACTGCAAATGATCGTTTCGCGCATAACCATATTGAGGCCACAGATCGCCAAATCTCTCGAGGAACTGCTCCAGGGTAGAGGCGCTGATGCTTAACATGCCAGTTTTGACGATGGTGAAGTAGACCTGAGCCACATCCAGAAATCGCGACTCATCCGAATTTAAGACGAGTTTGGCCAGGTCCTTATCACGCGTAGGCAGCCCGGATGTGGACTGTAAGACGGGGATGACCGCAAGCGCCGTCATGCAAATCTCCATGCCGTGCGCGTCCATGACTGCAGCACCATTTCGCAACGACTCCGTGGTAGTTCCCGCATCCTGGACTGTTCTCAGTTCGCCAAAGTCGTCCTCGATATCAATGTCCATGGCCTGACTGTCAGAACCTGGACTCGTAGAGGCGCCAGACGCCAGTCGGAGGGTCGATTTGAGGGTCACCAGAAAATTCGTGAAGGTATCCTGCACCTGGCCACGATTGAGTCGATGTCAATGGCGCATACTTGAGAGGTTAGGGTCTCTTACCTCAGCAGAGCGAAATATGGTGCGCTGGACTTGGCGGCGTACACTCAAGTAATGATCATGCCTCCCCGCCCCAGTATTAAGAGCGCTAAGGATTTGCCGTCTCACTCCGGTATACGATCCAGGAGATGTCAACGTTTCCCATGGCTCTTGTGCGGGATCCTGCAGAGCAGATACTAGGGGATGCAGGCTGCCCAGCATGAGGGATCGCTCCTCCGAGGTCCAACGCTTCTCCGAGAGTTGCGGAAGAACGGTTTGAATGAGGCGGCAAGCGGCCTGGACGACACGCCGTGTTGGCTGAATGCCGTTGACGACAAGTATGGCTTCGTAGGAAAGAGCGAGGAATGACACATCGAGACAGGACCGAACTCTCTCTGCCGTAATGAAGCCGGACGCTTCCTTGCTCGACTCCCATACGGCGCAGAGCTCCTCCATGGCTTTCAGGAGAAAGGCCGAGATACGTCGTTCTCGACTACGAGGGGGAGCTAGATCGTCGAGTGCGACACTTTGTTCCTCGGAATTCTGGCCACTAGACGTGTCGGGATCGGTGGTTGCCTGACGTTGGCGCCATGGCGGCAGACGGGCCTGGATTGAGAAGTCCCGTATTACGGCGGTGTAACAATGGTCGTTGGTAGCCCGGACGATGGAGGAGTCGGACAGCGGCATTCCGCAAATTAGGTGACTCCTGGTGGAGAATGAGCAAACGCCTTCCAGGAGCATCAACAGATCGGCAACAGTGTGCGCTGGCAGCCTCGTCTTCGGTGCGCTCCCCACTCTCCATGTGTCGACAAACCAAGACAACACCTTCTCTTCGAGCTGCATCCGATAAAGCCGGACGTCCTGGCTCGCTATGCGGAGGGCCAGGTCCAAGAACGCACAGACCGAGTCGTAAGGGAACACAGGTCCCTGGACATCGAGGTCCTTGCCTAGTGTCTCTATTTCGGCAATGAGACGCTGCGACGTGAGCAGCTCCTTCGAATGCAGTAGGAAGACGGACGCGGTATGACAGGCAGCGCGTGAGACGGATGCTACTGTCACCCGGCGCATAGCATGCGCATAGATGGCATCCCATGTCGTAGTACTCGACGGTTCCGGTCTCGAGCCAGGAGCAGAGGACGAGTTGAGTGACGCGCCAATGCTGTGAGCGATAGCGGCTAGGCAAAGAAAAGTCCACGACTGGACAGACCCGCCTTCGAACGATACGAACTGCAGGAGAACGGAGATGACTTGTTGTTGCAGTTCTTCGTGTAGGATCGCCCAATGTTTGTCGATAAAGAATAGCAAGCTCTGCAGATGATACGAGCGTATGCCGGAGACGGACGAGTGATTGACTAGGTCAAGTAGAGACTTGACAGGACTCTCCAGCTTGACGCGTTTCCCCGCACCGCGAGAGTTGCTAGGCTCCATCGAATGAACGGATTCTGTGAGACGGTATAACTGCAGATGAGTTTCGTACGAGTTCCTCCATGGAGCTTGAGTGCGAGATGACTACCTTGGCTGTGCAATCTGCTTGCAGCTCGAGTATCGTCCAAGCCAGCGCCTGGCTCGAGTCGAACTGCCATCCATGCCGAAAGGTCGATCCCACAAACGGCTGCGGTGAGTCTCCGTCCACTCCTAGCTGTCGCGCCTCTAGGCGCAACCGATCTAGTGACAGCCCGTCGACGCCCCAGCGACTTTCTGCCTCGCTGCTCAACAGATGCCAGAGTTTTGCCACTCCATTCGCATAATCCACATTGGCGAACACTGTCGGGTCGACGGGCTCCGCAGTGTAGTATGGGAATAGCGTCTGCAGCACTACGACCAGATCCTGCTTCGTCCGTTGGTTCTTGGTCCCCCACATGCTCAGTAGACCTTCCCAAGCATCATGCGCAAATTTGATCACGGTAGCAGAGTCATTCAATGCGACGTGGGATAGCGCGGCGGAGAGTGCGAGTAAGTAATCATGATGCAGGGAGGAATCTCCCGGGTACTTCTGTAGAATGCGGGAAAGTCTGTTGAACAAGGCAACGGGGAGATACGGGTGTTGAGGCGAGAGCAATGGAGCAGACGATGATTGGAGCAGCACGACGAGTAGGGACATGAACTCTACCTGCTCTTGAGTGACGGGATGTGAGGTTGGGGCGGGGCTGCCAGAGAACGGTGTCTGTCGCGTCTGCGTGGCAGGAGGGAGTTTCCTCTTCCTGGAAGAGCTTGGCCCTAGCGTAGACGGCGTGCCATCTTCTCCAGACTCATCGACTTCCGACCCTGCGAGCAGACTGTCTTCCCTCTCCTCCGCGAAGGTGTCCTCCATCTCGTTAAGGTTCCTCCTAACGCGGTCTCCGAGTATGACGTTCAGAGACATCTCTAGCAACGTTATCCACGTCGTCTCGACTAGATGTTCCAGGTGCGGGGCATAGCTCAAGATGCACCGAATAGCCTTGGCATACTGCAGCGCGACTGGGGTGAACAACTCGCCTCTATTGATGATAAACTTCGTAAGATGGGCTAATACGGCCTTCACCACCTTGCTGTTCATGCGTTGGACGCTATGCTCGATTAACCAGCGAACGGCGGAGGCAGCGTCGCCCAGCCGCCGTTTGACTACAGCGCTCGACGCGTCACCCTTCTTCGCGTATGCATCCTTCTCCTTCAGCACAGCATTGAAAAGGGCCTGGTAGATGACGAGCCACGCCTTCCCGTCGCCTTTCTCGTCGACCTTGAGGATCGTAGACTCGTGCGCGAATACGGTCTGTAATGAAGAGATACCCTCTTGTCGGTCCTTTACCTTCTCGCTCCTGAGCAAGTCCAAAACATTCTTGATAGTCGCACTTCCCATAACTACGAGCGGAAGTCGAAGAGCAGCATGAACAGAGCAGGAAGAAAAACAGGTTGGAGGGCAATTGAAGGTCGTTGGCCGAGGACATTGACAATGACAGTTCTTGCCAAAATAGGGCATGTCAGCTGACTTAGACGCTCAAAATACTGGTTAAATAGCCAGAAGATTTTGAAGCACGCTCATTTCCTTCTCTCCAATGTACTCAGTGCTCCCTATCCTACTTACCATGTCTCCCTCGAGTGAGCTGTCGTTCAAAAATCTCTACTTCGCATCTGTATGGCGTCTTTCTGCCCGGGCAGCTGCTCTACGCATCCACTCTGCATCGGTTCTGGTGAATCGCCAAGAACAACCGACGGATATCTGTCTAATCAACAGACATCCGGGCGACTTTCAGAACTGAAGATCTCATTATGAGGCCCTTCATGATATATGTTCGCCGTACATTTTGATACTGTCGTACGTACCGTGTAGCTTGTATCGCATTCGTTGTAATAGTACGATACCGGACAATGAAAATTTTGGCACTATTCTATCTGGAGTGGTTCAACGCAATCACGTCGTCAGGGAACGCCTCGGCCTCAATGACCTTCCAAGTATTAGTGCGTACAGGAGGAGAGTTGTTCACGAGGCATGCCAGTGAGCTCGAACAATGACACACGTACTATATAACATCGGCAGCTGTAGCTGGATGTTATGCAACTTCACATGATATCGACAGCACATGGGCTCTTCCTGACTCATGATGTCTGCGCAAGTAGTTCGATAACATGCGTTTGGCCGCAATTTGGCCGTGAGTAATCTCGCGCAGGGAAACAGAGGGGTCATTGCAACCTGAGGGCACCGGAAGTCTACGTTTTCACAAACACAAGGGATGGATCGCTCTAGTCATGGATCGCCCATCACAACGTGTCTTTGTTCAAAGGCAGACATTGGGGTTGACGGTCGGAATCCGATTCCCAAATAGCACCTTGCGGCCAGAAACAGAATTCCTGTAGCCAAATCGTTCAGCAAAGTATGTTGCTGCTCCACAAATTTCATACTCACGTCTACGCCGCAGGCAGGATCGCACTTCATCCACGCTGGCCAATCTAGCCATTTGATCAGAGCGTCGAACTCTCCTCTCCATTCCACCAGGAGGCGTGATACGACCTCCACACTCTGTTCTTCGACGTCAAACGCACCCCTCCAAGCCTCCGTGTATACGCGGCAGATCTCGTGCAGTACCTCCTTCGTCGCATTGTACAGGACACGCTCCTGCTTTGTGAACTTCGACAGCGGGAGACGCGCCGTGTACTGCGTCGCGCACTCCTCAGCCATCTGCGCATACCACTCCGGGGTGCCGACATGCTCGCGGTGCATGTAAGGGAGGAGCGACACGAGGAGTTGTCTGCGTATGGCCAGTACATGCTCGGACGCATTGCTGTAGGGTTGATGAAGGAGGTGGCGCACGAACGGCAGCCGGTCGAAGAACCGATCCTGGATGACACGCGCAAGGCCTTGCCAATCCACACCACTCTTGCCGGCTGGGTCCCGAGCCAGCATCTCCGTGACGTCCGCCTGCACACGCGCGACATCCTCTTTCGATATGCCCATCAGCCGATATTCTGGGCGTTTGGACGAGCGGCGCGATTCGACGAGGGATGTGAGGGCCGGATCGTAGAACGAGACCATGGTCGATGGGTCGACTCGGATGCGCACCTCGCCCGAGTTGTGCCAGGTACCTGTATGTCTGACCTCAGCGAAGCTTGAAGGCAAACTACCTTTCCAGCCTGCTGGTGGTACCATGGGCTCGCGATGCAACGGCGGCAGAGCTGTGGGCAACGGAGCCATGTGCGCGGAAGAATACGTCGCCGTGACATTGTCAGAGACAACAGCGACGAACTTGAATCCATCGTTGGCGACTAGCGAGTGGGCGGAGACCAACTCCAGCCCATCCGAGATGTTGCAGTACATGAGCTCGCTGTGCGCCCAATGTCAACACATATGCGAGTATGCATGGAGGCACACTCACAAGTCGATCTGCATCCTGACAATTCCATCAAGGCCGTACTGCTTGCCCCATTCGCACATTTTGCGGAAGCGCGCCTCTTCGCCGAACCATTTATCATGGGCATCATAGTTCACTTCGCCCCAGAAGAGGACGTCTTGTGTATCGACAGTCCCACCGAACTTGTTCCCACTAGCACCGTCGAAGAAGAGTAAGTTGAGTTCACGCGTGGCGCTATACGTGAAGAGTGTGCTGTTCAAGCCTCCTGTAAAGACCTGAGAGTGTTCCGGGTCGAATGCAATCCAGTCCCTCGTCGGCGGCTCTTTTGTGTGACGCCCATGATAGAGGAGAGTACCCGGAGGGATACTGGCACGGATAATCGCATGACCTTGAGAATACTTGGTGGTCAATACCTTGAACTTGAGTAGAACGATGTGCGCACCGTTAATATATTTAGAGTTCGGTGCGAGCTGCAGCAGTGAGGCCAACGACTGGAAAATGAGGTTTCCCGTGGCATCTTTGCTAGGCCGCTCGTCCCACGGCCTTAAGTGCTGGGTATCATATCGGGAGTCAGGGATAGGTGCCAATGGTACCTGCTCATGGGCACAGACTCCCAGCACAATGCTGGACGCGTAAAGAGGCAGGGCCAGAGTATGCTGCCAGCGCATGAAGGGCGATAACGGGTACAGGAGGGAACCCCAGCACGGCGTCCGACATTACTTATGTACTTAGCAGGGCTCATCGAGAAGGCAACACCAAGTGTGTCCGGAAGCCAATCCAAGATAGATGATGATAGACGCTGTCAAGGAACCCGAATACGTTGAAACGTTGCATGATACACGAGGAGGAGGAGACGAATGGGAGAAGCTGATGGCGATATTGTGCCGCCTCTTTTCCTCCCCACGGATCCGAAAGTGTCCGTTGCGGGCTGCGGGCAAGGACCTTTCACACCTTATCAAAGCCGGAAGTGGCCTAAGGCTGTTTGTGCGGTGAACCCTCTGAAGAGGTGCTGTTCGGAGGACGCCCAGGCATGCTCTTCCGACCGGTAAGTAACAGCGATCCTTAGAAGTTTGTGCTTGTATACTTACTTATAAGTAGCCAAGTACTATACGGGGCATCGGCTACCGACAAAGCGCCCGGACATGATACCGCTTATAATTCCATATTCTATGTAGACCCTTCCCGAAACAGCGCGCACAGGCGGGAGTCGTCGGGCCAAATCATACTTAAATATTGTCTCGTCAAGCAATCCGTACCCTCTGTCGGTTTACCTCGACCACGAACCTCGGTCTACCTCGCCCTCGACGTTGCTTGTTACGGTACAATCCTGATGGGAATGCCCCAAGAATTCCCTATGTATGGATACTAATGCCTGACTTGCTCTGCCTGTACGCATGCAGACGCATGCGCACTTGAGCGCCGAGGCCTGAGGGTATAGCAATATGGAATTACTTAACTTAGCTGTAGCTGGAATGGCCGGTAGGAAGCCGTAAAACACGCAAGAAGGTTGCGGGCTGTGTTCTCACCATCATATCTGTCACACAGCGGCTCCGCTCGATATGATCAGCGCTGTCTGGCGCACCTAAGGCGCACTGACCTTGCACTGACCCGTGGAATCCTCGGCTTCAGACTTGCTATGCGAAGCCGCATCATGAGGCGTGTATTGAGTGTCCGGGCGGAAGCGTCGTAAGGTTCCAAACTAGCTCCATGGCAAGAGAACTGTCGTGGTACATAGCCAGTGAAGGAGTGAGACCAGAAAATTGCGTGCAGAATGCTGTAGGACTCTCGCCTTATTTCCTAGGAGGACATTTGTACCCGGAGAAGCGTAGCCGCTCGCTGATCAGTAAGTGCCAGTGCTCGCCCGAAGGCGGGATGAGACCGAAGGACTAGTACAGCAAATGGCTGAGATGGTAATAGCTGACATTTACCGATATCATTTCTCGTGGCACTCCGCGAACGGCCTGCAGTACGACTCGTGCCGCTGCCAGCGCGCAGGGTAGTCGAATGCGAGCACGCGCTAGCTTGCCTCTTTTTTTTATTTTTTTTTATTCTCCATGTTTTAGGCCCGTACGGTAGGTACATGCGGTGATGAGCCCTTAGCTCACCTACCCACCGAAAACGCCATTTACGGTCGATACAACGGTACACTAAGTCAGAACGGTCGACGCACTGCCCGTCCGTTCGAGGGAACCGCCCGATGTTCGAAGCTCAGGCGTCGATGTTCGGAACCCTTAGTGGCGGAGGCAAGCGGTTTAGAAGCGTCGCTACATTGGTAGGACTCCGGAGCAAGTACATGGTTACGTCAACCTAGCTAGTGACGCCCCCGGCAACTCTCGTATCTATGTCCTCGACCACCACACCCGTGACCTCCACCTCTACCCCTACGAACAGACGGACCGGTGTCGGCGCCACGGTCAGTGTTGACGCGCTCGAGTAGGCTTTCGAGCAACCCAACGAGGGTGCCGTGCGTGTGGCGCTGGTCGACTGCGATGTTGTGAATTGCTCGACCCATGGCCTCGAGGTTATCGGGCAGCTGGCGAAAGTCGGACAGGATCAACGACTCGCGCTGATACTGCGGGTTCGCGAGGGGACGACGCTCGGCCTGGTTGACTTGTTCGAGCAGTACCAAGGTCTCGGACCACGCGATCGTAGGTGTAACGCCCCCTTACTCACGCCGTGATACGCTGCACCCAGTCTCTATTCCAGAGTGGTGCGGTATCGGTGACGAGTGTAAAGGAACTGGAACTCCCACACTCGCTGGCGCCGTCCTTAAGGGACGGCGCCTACGCACGCGATCGTAGATACATTATATGTCCTAATTTAGTAACTACGTGAATGTAACGTAGCCACGTTACACTCTCCCCCCTTGGACCCGTCCACGGTCCACAGCGATGTACAGTAGAATAAAAATAGAAATACAATTGGAGATGCGACGACCCGACGGTGGTAGCGAATGGTACGATGAGGACGACGCTGTACTGTAGACAACGACTCGCGAGTCGCGTCAGTGAGCAGCACATCCGCCATCGTCGTCACACATAACTCGAGGGAGTTATGCGACCTTGGATACGTAGCGGGCCAGCGGCCGCTACATGTCACGCTCCGCACCCGGGTCGTCCGCCTGAGTGTCGTTGTCCATCTCGACGTCGTTGACTACATCCGTGGGGATGTAGACGTTCGCAGGGATGGGGGGCATGTCGTTGATGTGGACGACATGCTCATGGACCACATCGCTCCCTACGGACGGGTACGTAGCATACGGCGCCGCAGTATCAATCGCCCGGCCCTCGTGCTCGTTCCTCCGACGCCGATAGAATTCCTCGAGGAATCCTACCTCGTCCGGATGGTACCCCATCCGCGAGAACCAACGGGCGACATCAAATATAGTGATGTCGGCCAGGCTCGCGGGGAACGCGACGGTAGCCCGTCCAGCTCCCAGCGGGTAAGCTCCTTCCTGTACCAGTCGTCGGTACAGGCCCGGGATGGAGAACAGCCGTCCCGTGGCGACTTCCCAAGGACGACGCGACTGCGTTGTCGTTGGGGCCAATCGACGCGTGAGGTGCAGGGCCTCAACGTCGTCGACGTTCGGCCGTCCTCCACGGTCGACGCGCATACCCAGCGGTATGCGGTCGCGATTGACGCGGTACCACTCGTGCCATTCGAGTGCCGTCGACTGGTTCGTCGGCTGGGCCAACCCGCCCCTCGACTTCTTCTTGGGCGGGGCGGTGGCCGCTCGTCCCGCCGGCGACCTGGCCCGCCGCTTGCTCGACGTCGCTCCCGTATTCGACCACGTCGCCGTGGTCGTCGACGAGGCGGCAGGGGCCGTTCCCGCTGAGGGTCCCGCCGTTGAGGCCGCGGTACGACTCCCCGACGGCCCTGCGCCCGCCGTTCCGGCTGGCGGTGCATTCGCCCGTCGTCGATGCTCCTCGCGGCTCTCCTGCATGGCCCGGGCCATGTCGCCGACCTCCTGGTCCTGCGTCCGACGGGGGGGTTGCCATTGCTGCATCAGCCAACGCGGCCCCTCAACCGCTCCTATCCTCTGGTCCACCTGGGCCTGGTGGATAAGGTCCCGCACCCGGAACCTCGCCTGCTCGTCTACCAGGGCCCGTCGACGGATGATCTCCGCCTCGGCACGACTACGAGGGATGTAGTTGTGCCACTCGCCCGCTGATACGCCTCTAGGCTATCTAAGCCCCGAAAACGCAATCTAGGCCTCTACGATGCTCCGAAGCTCTTAGAAGATCCACTACAACTGTTCGAAGATTTCGAAGTTCGTAGCCAACCCTGGCTCACCTTAGAAGACTATCCGCGACCTTCCGGCACCTCAGTGACACTATAGGAGCACCTACCCACCTATCTAGACGACCCCAGAGCACGCAGGTCACTCGAAGATACACTATGTGTTAGAAGACACTCGAACATGTTAGAAGACGTGCTACGGTGTTAGAAGATCTCCTGCGAGACCATAGGATGCTACAGGATGTCCAGTGAGTCCTTGCAGGTCGTCTCACATCCTCGACGAGTGGTCTCGGTTTCCGGCGTCATGTGATAGCCGGTCGGCCTTTGGACCACTGGTTAGCGAGCCCAAGAGCAGTTGTCACGTGTTAGAAGCCATAGCCGGATGTTTGGGGCCGTCGGAGCTCCGTAGTGGTAATAGCCGTGTTTCCCTGTATATACTCTGGGACTGGTTCCCTTCGAATCTCAGAGACCCCCTTACCCTCTCAATCTCACCTCGCACCGGCGAGGTTCGTCAGTCAGCCAGTACGTTCAAAAGTCAGCAAGTTCGCCAGTCAGCCAGTACGTTCGAAGCCAGTCAGTCAGTCAGTCAGTTCGCCAGTACGTTCGCCAGCTCGTAGTTGCCCCGAGAGGCTCTACACTTCTTCTCCTGCTGTTGCTCGCCTTCCTTGTCACCGTTCGTTTGACACGTCTGTCGAAACCCTCCCTCCTATCTTCGAGGCTTAGCCCTCGTCTTCGAACAGTCTTCGACATCTTCGAAGCTCTCCCACGTCGTTCGGAGTCTTGTCCGTCCTCCTCCTTCTTACCTAGACCACTGTACAGTCCCCCGTACATCTCATAGACTCAGAGGCCTCGCATACCACTGCTCGACCTCACGGTTGGGTTTTTGTGTGGCTTTTGTGTTCTTTTTGGTCGCGTCATCTTGGAGCCCACCGCGAGGGGGATATAGAGCAAGATTCCGCCGCGTCGGAACTTCGAAGTCAACCCTGAAGACTACCGAGACTACGAAAGTCCTCTCCTCGCACTCGCTATCGACAGTAGACTAGGTCCCCGATCAGCCGCCGCCTTTCGCAGGCATAGCAACCCTCTCCCAGGACCTTCGACTATCCCCTCTTCGCCCGAAAACGTCGAGCTTGTCCCCGATCACGACGATCCGGAACGCTCCGTTCGAGACCAAGTGCCTACTACCCCATCCCATTCCAGACGTGCTTGAAGACTCTTGCTTGCAGACGACTTAGAGGCACTAGTCTTCGGATCCCCTCTACCGCTTCTAACACCATCACCACTTCTCGAAGGAGAGGAACCCACCTCAGCCACAGTCACCACGCATAGAGGATCTTCCACCTCACGTCTACCCATACCCACCAGTCGTAGAGTGTCGTCAGTCCCTCCAGGACCAGAGCAGTCCGCGCCGCGACGGACTTCGACCGTCGACACCCCTAACCCTTCGAACACT